TTGTATGTGTTGTATGAGTGTTGTATGTTGTATGTTGTATGTATGTTGTATGAGTGTTGTATGCTGTATAGTGTTGTGTGTGTATGTATGAGTGTTGTATGCTGTATGGAGTGTTGTATGCTGTATGAGTGTTGTATGTGTATGTGTGTTGTATGATGTATGAGTGTTGTATGTTGTATAGGATGTTGTATGTTGTATGAGTGTTGTATGTTGTATGTGTGTTGTATGCTGTATGTGTGTTGTATGTTGTATGAGTGTTGTATGTTGTATGATGTGTTGTATGTTGTATGTTGTTGTATGTTGTATGTTGTATGTTGTATGTGTGTTGTATGTTGTATGAGTGTTGTATGTTGTATGGGTGTTGTATGTTGTATGAGTGTTGTATGTATGTATGAGTGTTGTATGTTGTATGATTGTATTGTGTGTTGTATGTTGTATGGGTGTTGTATGTTAAATGAGTGTTGTATGTTGTATGAGTGTTGTTTGCTGTATGTGTGTTGTATGTTGTATGAGTGTTGTATGTTGTATGAGTGTTGTATGATGTGTATGAGTGTTGTATGTTGTATGAGTGTTGTATGATGTATGAGTGTTGTATGCTGTATGAGTGTTGTATGCTGTATGAGTGTTGTATGCTGTATGAGTGTTGTATGCTGTATGAGTGTTGTATGCTGTATGAGTGTTGTATGCTGTATGAGTGTTGTATGCTGTATGTGTTGTATGTGTTGTGTTGTATGTTGTATGAGTGTTGTATGATGTGTGAGTGTTGTATGCTGTATGAGTGTTGTATGCTGTGTGAGTGTTGTATGCTGTATGAGTGTTGTATGCTGTATGAGTGTTGTATGCTGTATGAGTGTTGTATGCTGTATGAGTGTTGTATGCTGTATGAGTGTTGTATGATGTATGAGTGTTGTATGTGTGTGTTATGTATGTGTGTTTGTATGATGTATGATGTATGAGTGTGTTGTATGTTGTATGTATGCTGTATGAGTGTTGTATGTTGTATATGAGTGTTGTATGTTGTGTGTGTGTTGTATGTGTTGCATGTATGTATGTGTTGTATGTGTTATTGTATGTGTATGTATGTTGTGTGTTGTATGTTGTATGTGTTGTTGTATGGTGTTGTATGTTGTATGTGTGTTGTATGTTGTGTATGGGTGTTGTATGTTGTATGTGTGTTGTATGTTGTATGGAGTGTTGTATGTTGTATGTGTTGTATGTGTTGTATGTTGTATGGTGTGTTGTATGTTGTATGTGTGTGTTGTATGTTGTATGTTAGTGTATGAGTGTGTTGTGTGTTGTATGTATGTGTGTTGTATGTTGTATGTGTGTTGTATGTTGTATGTGTGTTGTATGTGTATGTGTGTTGTATATGTTGTATGTGTGTTGTATGCTGTATGATGTGTTGTATGTTGTATGAGTGTTGTATGTTGTATGTGTATTGTATGTTGTATGAGTGTTGTATGTTGTATGTTGCAGTGTTGTATGTTGTGTATGTGTTGTATGTTGTATGAGTGTGTTGTATGCTGTATGTGTGTTGTATGATGTATGAGTGTTGTATGTTGCATGGGTGTTGTATGTATGTGTTGTATGCTGTATGAGTGTATGTGTATGTTGTATGTTGTATGTGTTGTATGTTGTATGAGCTGTTGTATGTTTGTATGTGTTGTATGTTGTATGAGTGTTGTATGTGTGTATGATGTTGTATGTGTATGAGTGTTGTATGTTGTATGTGTTGTATGTTGTATGTAGTGTTGTATGCTGTATGAGTGTTGTATGTATGTGTTGTATGTGTATGTGTTGTATGCTGTATGAGTGTTGTATGTTGTATGTATGGAGTGTTGTATGTTGTATGAGTGTTGTATGTTGTATGAGTGTTGTATGTTGTATGAGTGTTGTATGTTGTATTGTGTTGTATGTTGTATGGTGTGTTGTATGTGTGTGTTGTATGCTGTTGTATGTTGTATGTGTGTTGTATGTGTGTTGTATGCTGTATGTGTTAATGAGTGTTGTGTTGTGTGTTGTATGTTGTATGATGTTGTGTGTGTGTTATGATATTGTTGTGTTATTGTATGTGTGTTGTATGTTGTATGAGTGTTGTATGTTGTATGTTGTATGTGTGTTGTATGTGTGTATGGGTGTTGTATGTTGTATGAGTGTTGTATGCTGTATGTGTGTTGTATGATGTATGAATGTCGTATGTTGCATGGGTGTTGTATGTTATATGGGTGTTGTATGTTGTATGTGTGTTGTTTGCTGTATGTGTGTTGTATGTTGTATGAGTGTTGTATACTGTATGATGATTGTATGTTGCATGGTGTTGTATGTTGCATGTTGTATGTGTGTTGTGTGTTGCATGAGTGTTGTATGTTGTATGGGTGTTGTATGTTGTATGAGTGTTGTATGCTGTATGTGTTGTATGATGTATGAATGTCGTATGTTGCATGGGTGTGTTGTTGTATGTTAAATGGGTGTTGTATGTTGTATGAGTGTTGTTTGCTGTATGTGTGTTGTATGTTGTATGAGTGTTGTATGCTGTATGAGTGTTGTATGATGTATGAGTGTTGTATGTTGTATGAGTGTTGTATGCTGTATGAGTGTTGTATGCTGTATGAGTGTTGTATGCTGTATGAGTGTTGTATGCTGTATGAGTGTTGTATGCTGTATGAGTGTTGTATGCTGTATGAGTGTTGTATGCTGTATGAGTGTTGTATATGAGTGTATGTTGTATGAGTGTTGTATGTTGTATGAGTGTTGTATGATGTATGAGTGTTGTATGCTGTATGAGTGTTGTATGCTGTATGAGTGTTGTATGCTGTATGAGTGTTGTATGCTGTATGGGTGTTGTATGCTGTATGAGTGTTGTATGATGTATGAGTGTTGTATGCTGTATGAGTGTTGTATGCTGTATGAGTGTTGTATGATGTATGAGTGTTGTATGATGTATGAGTGGTGTATGTTGTATGCTGTATGAGTGTTGTATGTTGTATGAGTGTTGTATGATGTGTGAGTGTGATATGTTGCATGGGTGTTGTAGGTTGTATGGGTGTTGCATGTTGTATGAGAGTTGTATGTTGCCTGGGTGTTGTATGTTGTATGTGTGCTGTTTGTTGCGTGGGTGTTGTATGTTGTATGAGTGTTGTATGCTGTATGAGTGTTGTATGATGTGTGAGTGTCTTATGTTGCATGGGTGTTGTATGTTGTATGGCTGTTGTATGTTGTATGAGAGTTGTATGTTGTATGAGTGTCGTATGTTGTATGAGTGTCATATGTTGCATTGGTGTTGTATGTTGTATGGGTGTTGTATGCTGTATGTGTGTTGTATTTGTATGTGTGTTGTATGCTGTATGAGTGTTAAATGTTGTATGTGTTATGAGTGTTGCATGTTGTATTTGTGTTGTGTGTTGCATGAGTGTTGTATGTTGTATGGGTGTTGTATGTTGTATGAGTGTTGTATGCTGTATGTGTGTTGTATGATGTATGAATGTCGTATGTTGCATGGGTGTTGTATGTTATATGGGTGTTGTATGTTGCATGGATGTTGTTTGCTGTATGTGTGTTGTATGTTGTATGAGTGTTGTATACTGTATGATCATTGTATGTTGCATGGGTGTTGTATGTTGTATGTTATATGGGTGTTGTATGCTGTATGAGTGTTGTATGCTGTATGTGTGTTGTATGTTATATGGGTGTTGTATGCTGTATGTGTGTTGTATTTGTATGTGTGTTGTATGCTGTATGAGTGTTAAATTTTGTATGATCGTTGTATGTTGTATGAGTCTTGTATGTTGTATGTTTTATGAGTGTTGCATGTTGTATGGGTGTTGCATGTTGTATGAGTGTTGTATGCTGTATATGTGTTGTATGATGTGTGAATGTTGTATGTTGTATGGGTGTTGTATGTTGTATGAGTGTTGTATGTTGTATGTTGTATGTATGTTGTATGTTGTATGTGTTGTATGCTGTATGAGTGTTGTATGTTGTATGAGTGTTGTATGTTGTATGTGTATGTATGTTGTATGAGTGTTGTATGTTGTATGATGTGTTGTATGTTGTATGAATGTTGTATGTTGTATGAGTGTTGTATGTGTGTTGTATGTTGTATGAGTGTTGTATGTTGTATGAGTTGTTGTATGTTGTATGAGTGTTGTATGCTGTATGGTGTTGTATGTGTATGATCGTTGTATGTTGTATGTGTTGTATGACTGTTGTATGTTGTATGCGTTGTATGTTGTATGTTGTATGTTGTATGATGTTGTATGTTGTATAAGTGTTGTATGCTGAATACGTGTTGTATGCTGTATGTGTGTTGTGTGCTGTAGGAGTGTTGTATGTTGAATGAGTGTTGTATGTTGTAAGATTGTTGTATGTTGTGTGATGGTTGTATGTTGTATGAGTGTTGTATGCTGTATGTGTGTTGTATGCTGTTTGAGTGTTGTATGCTGTATGAGTGTTGTATGTTGTATGATTGTTGTATGCTGTATGGTTGTTGTATTTTGTGTGATCGTTGTATGTTGAATGAGTGTTGTATGCTGTATTGGTGTTGCATGTTGAATGAGTGTTGTAAGCTATATTAGTGTTGCATGTTGAATGAGTGTTGTATGCTGTATTAGTGTTGCATGTGTTGAGTCCCATCAGGGATTTCAACATAAAGATAACACTGTGTCATACATACAGGTAACAATGTATAGTACAAACAGATTACACTGTGTCATACACTATAATCTATATGAACCATACACTACAATCTGTACGTAAAATACACTGTGCACTTATGAAACACTGTAATCTGTATGTATCATGCAATATAATCTGTATGTATGACGCAGTGTAATCTATATGTCCCATACACTATAATCTGCATATATGACACACTGCAATCGCTATGTCCCCTGCACTGTAATATATATGCCCCATACACTGTAATCGGTATGTATGCATGGCACACTGTAATATGTGTTTTGTATGTACTGCCATGACGATCGACTGGCAATGTGTTTTAGCCCGTATTAAGTATGAGTGCCGGAAAAACACCACCATCCACCTGGACACACCATCCTCCATCGTGGAAGGCTACAACCGGTCTTCCGAGCAATATTACGACAACTCCAACTGCCGGTGGCAAATCTTGGTGAAGGAACAAGAGAGAATACTCCTCGCCTCTCTGGACTTCCTGCTTGAGAACAGTCCAAGGTGCAGGTAAGACATGCAAAGAGCCAGACACTGGACGACCTCCTTTATAAAATAAGGCAGTCATCACTAGGGTAGTAATGTCATTTATTACCCGTACGGGTGAGGACATCCAGTGTAGTATCTTTTTGATATTTGCACAATGTGCAATTTAGTGATTCTCGACGTTGATTGGTCGATCGTATAGTTTTAGGGGATGTCGGAACAACTTACCACTACTTTCATTCATAACATTTCATCGATTCGAAATACACAATGCCATTTTAGAAAGTGGTCAAATGTAACATATGTTATATTTGGGATTGCACTTTCTTAGTAAAGTACATATTCTAGTACTTTGTGGGTTGAGTCCCATCCGGGATTCGAACCCACATCCTCAGAGTCAGGCCAAGTCAGACGCCTAGACCGCCTAGCCATCGCGGCTTCCACGGCTCCCATATAGATCTAAGAGTCGTCAGCGTACAAGTCAAATCCAAGGTTGTACTTCCTAACTATGTCGCTAACAGGTAAAGTGTACAGGGTAAACATTATGGGGCCCAAAACAGAACTTTGCGGTACCCCATAAAGTAGCTCCTTCATTTTTGACTGTTTACCTTCAATGATAACTGTTTAACATCGGTTGCTAAGATATGATTTGAACCATGACCAAACCTGGCCAGTCAGTCCAACTCGGTCTTCCAGCAATGACAGCAGGATAGAATGGTCTATTGTGTCGAATGCTGCCGAGAGGTCCAGCATTACCAGTGCAGCCGCGCCATCAGAGTCCACAGCCATGGCAGATCGTTTTGCACTCTCTGAAGGGTGGATACTGTACTGTGGCAGATTGCATGGTCTCCTGCAGCTGTGCCTCCACAAGACAGTCTCGAAGACGTGATGCAACTACTCGCTCAATAAGCTTAGAGAGGAAAGTGCTTCCTTGAGAGATAAAGGAACTTCACAGCAGTTCAGTGAGAGGCTTACCACTTTGGATAAAACAGGAATAGTGACATCTGACGCTGACTTTAACAACCATGTTGGCAAGGGGTCTAACGAGTATAAATTCGTTGGCTATTTCAAAAGTATTTGTGATATTTCTTCACAGGTATAAATGAGCATTTCTATAGCGCCTATCCCTAAGTCATATGCTCAAAGCGCTGTGCATGGCAAAAATGATTGTCAAACTGTATAATTTTTTTTGAGGAGATGTGTCTTCAAATGGGCTTTGAAACTCTCCATGAAGGCAAGATCTCATTCAATAGACAAAGCATCCATGAGAGTAGCGGCAGAGGTTTTAAAAGGACATTGTCCGAGCTTCCATCTTGGTGTCTGTGTGTCTGATCGGAGAGAACGGGTGGGTTTGTACAAGTTCACGCAAGTACTCGGGGACTGTTCCATCTATACACTGGTACGTAAGGGAGAGAACTTTGTACTCAATCCGGGTCTATACTGGTAGCCAGTGTAATGATCTGAGTATTGGCGTCATATATTCGTTACTATCCAGGCAGCTTTAGTTTGTATCATCTGCGGTCTCCGGATATGTTTTTATTTTGCACTCAGGAGCAACCTATTGCAGTAGCCCAACCACGACAGTGCGAGTGTTCCGACGGGTTCAGCATGTGCCTCTTGGGTGACAAGGTGACGAATGTTCCCAATGTTACGCAAATGGCAGTTACACTTGCAACACAGTTCGGTCACATGTTTGTCACAGTTAAAGTCGGATAGGAGATAAACTTCAAGGGTTTTGACATATTATAAGAGGGCAATTCTATTTCTTCTTGGCCAACTGAGAACTTGTCAGTGTTGTTCTTGGACAGCACTGTCATGATGGTCTTAGTTCCAATCTGCATGGCTTCAGTTTTGTCTTGGTTAAGCTTTAACTTGTTGTCAAGACAGACCTCTAAGGATGACAATGGTGAGCCAGGGTTCTCGATGAGAAGCAAACTATCCATAACCTGCGTATCGCCCGCATATAGATGATGACCCTTGTCATGGCTATCTATTAGGTGACCTAGTGGCTTTGTATACATGGTAAATAAAACCGTCCCCAACACGGATCCTTGTGGTACACCACATTCCAACAATACTTTGTCCGACTTGATATCATCAATTGAATCAGTCTGTTGTCTTCCCGATAGATAGGGGTAATCCAGTTGTGAGCATAGCCATAAATCTGACCTGAGACAACAGAGAAGAAGTGCAGTGTGGTTCACAGTATCAAAGGTTGCTGTCAAATCCAAAAGAACTAGAACAGCAAGATCACCTTGGTCCACTGTTTGCTGATGGTCGCCGACAGCTCTAAGAAAAGCTGCCTCCGTGCTGTGGCCAACACGATATGCCGACTGAAACTTAGGCTCAGGATGATTGTTCTTCATGACGTGCTCTGCAGCATTTAATGGCTTTCTCCAACAGCCCAGATATATAGGGCAGGTTTGAAACAGGTCTGTACTTCGAGAGTTTGTTTTTGTCAAGATTGGGCTTCTTGAGCAACGGTTTCACAACAGCTGCCTTAAAACAATCTGGACATATTCTTGCCAAACTTTGATTGATTATTCTTGTCACTGAAGGTTGCAAGATACTAATATGTTCCCAAAGCAGTTTGGTAGGAATGGGATCTTCCTCGCAACTTGTTGGTTTAGAGCAACCAATAAGTTCCATAACTTCTGCTTCTTCTAGTAGGCATGTCCATGGGCACCAACTGTGCTTTTCGTTCTTGATGGTATGTTTCCTGCATACGAATCGACGTTTTTCCTTGTCATCGCAAAATCGAAACATGACAATTGGGCTCCACATTTAAGGCTTCTAAACTTTGGCCTTTCCACATATGTATTCAAGGTATTCATCTCATACTGCTTTTGACTTGTTTCAGTTTTGACTATGTCGAAATATTTGACGGGGGACCCAGACAGGAACATTCTATTGGTAAATTTTGCGGTCGTCGTGATGTGCGCCTCATCAGCCGTTCACAAGTACTGTACATCCAATTCCGGTCAGACGAAAGTGTTACTGCGCCCGGCTTCCGTTTTGAAATACGCAAACTTGAAGATGGTGAGTGAATGAGTTCGGCACATCAGGGAATGTCAGCTTATTGACCTATACAACCATGTATGGTGCTAAGAAACTATGGGTCATAATCATAGTAACATACATGGATCCTCACACAGCTACTCCACCGCGCATTGCGATATCTTGTGAAAGGAAACGTTATTAGACAATTCTTGAACGTCCGTACCTTCGGGACATGGTGACACAAAGGCACCGGACGTCTTTTCTGTGTAATTCTAGGAGGGCGTGTTCAGGGGGTCGAACCCCCCACCTTTTGAAAATGACTAATGACCACATTGAAGTTAATGGCACGGAATCAAACCTTATCATAAGATAAACCACAACCATTTTGAATGTAAAACCATAAACATTTCACTAAAAGATGGGGTGTTGGTTTCTGGACAATTTGGCCTTTTCTTGAAACTTTTCGTGTGGAAAATACGCCGATAAACTAACGCATTTCATTGTAAGTTGCAAACGCTTCATACATTCCAATTGAAAACCAGTTGACATGTTATACAAAACTGAACGCAGTTTGTTTGAAAAATTAATGAACTTCATCTACTTCACATTCAGCATCTAGTCCCACGTGCAACAGAACCGTGACGGGGGCACCAGGAATCATCCGCTCCATCAACTACCCCCAGCGCTACCCCGACGGCACCACCTGCTTGTATAAAATCAGCGTGAGTTGGTGACCCTGAGAAATACATATGCGAAAACAAACCCATTTGATTGTTTGTTGGTTGATTGGTGTTAAAGCCACACTATTCCAGCAATATGGCGTCCGTCTGTAAATAATCGAGTCTGGACCAGACTATCCTGTGATCAACAGCATGAGCATCGATCTGCGCAATTGGGATACTATGACCCGTGCCAACCAAGTCAGCAAACCTGACCACCCGATCCGGTTAGTCGCCTATTACGACAAGCCTCTATTGCTAAGGAGCAATTCTAATACGGATCTTCACGGGTATTTGAATTGCTTGTCAACAATTTACATGCTTGTATCAGTATTGCGCCAAGAGCAGTACATAGCCGATAATATTCCTTTCAGAATGATTCATTAATTGTAAAAAATTGTTTCCAAATTGTTCCTTGTATTTGGGTCAAAACTTATTTTACTTGGCAGGCACCCCCGAACAAGAAAGTGAAGCTGGAATTTGATGACTTCAGTTTGGAGAAAGAACCCTGCGAGTATGATTACTTAACTGTCTACGACGGTCACAGCTCAGGTGAGACACATGCTCTAGGTCAAGTGTAAAGCAGGCTATAGTTCTGGTGAAAGAAGAATATAGTTCTGGTGAACATACAACCTAAAGATCAGATTAGATAAACAAAAGGTCATGACCAGGTAAAAAACATGACATATTTCATTGACTATTAAAAGAGAAATCACGAACGCCATTAAATTGATCTTATCTCACTTGGTGCAACATAGGAATCTAACGTGACATTTTCAGCATCTAACGTGCTGGGCAGCTACTGTGGGCGACGCGCGCCACGCTACATCGTCTCCTCCACCAACGCCCTACTGCTGTACTTCCATTCCGACGACTACGTCAACGAGAAGGGTTTCAGCTTGAACTACACTTTTGTTGATGACAGTGCCCAAGACCATCAGGTTGTATTGGGGGACCTACCACCTGATTATGACCTAGGTAAGGTTTACCACGGACGTCTATCTCTGCATTCCAAGAAAACGTGAAAAACAGATTATTAGCCTGACGACGCAACAAATAGACAGACTAGCGCCGAATTGCAACTCCCTTGTTGCTCCTTATACGCTCTCATTGGATTTGCCCTTAGCGAAATATTCAAGAAGCTCCAATTTTCTAACCCTGAATTTCCTTATCTAATCAACTGAATTGATCAAATACAATCCAGTATGTTGAAAGGCCTTGGTATCATGTTTATGAGAGAATATTACGTAAAAAGACTGGATTGATTTTTGATTCGGATTGTCTACCTCGTGTTTCCTAAGAACGAACTAGCAATCAGGAGGTTTCATCTTTTCTAGATTGTTCAGCCAATATAACAGCGGTGGGACACAACTTGAGCAGTCCGGTATTCAATGAAGACTTTTATCTCCAGCGGAAAAGGTGCCGGACCTCTATTCGTGCACCCGCAAATCAAAGGGTCATCCTTAATATTGAAACGTTCGACCTTGAGGAGAGCTTTGACTGCATATATGACCATGTGAACATCACCTACCAAACCAAGGAAGGTAAGATCTTGATACGCATTGAAAATGTATGGTGAGTGTGAGTGAATTTAGTTTTACGCCGCTTTTAGCAATATTCCAGCAATATCACGGCGGATGACACCAGAAATGGGTTTCACACATTGTACCCATGTGGGGAATCGAACCCGCGTCTTCGGCGTGACGACCGAACGCTTTACCCACTAGGCTACACCACCGCCCCACAAGTAGACAAACTTAATAAGAAGTTGTGATTAATACTGACCAATGTGGCGTCTGTATATGTCAAAAAAATCAAGAACCTCGCAAAATTCATATGCATGATAGAAAAGTACCTTCGAGTGTATTGTATATAATTATGTGTGCCGAGTTTATCCACCGGCTTCTATATATATCTGTATCTTCATCTTGTGTATACCACAAGGTCTTCTATGTACTGGTGCAGGCTTCTATATTTATCTGTGTCTTCATCTTGTGTATACCACACGGTCTTCTATGTAGGAATCTATATTTATCTGTATCTTCATCTTGTGTATACCAAACGGTCTTCTATGTACTGGTGCTAGCTTCTATATTTATCTGTATCTTCATCTTGTGTATACCACAAGGTCTTCTATGTACTGGTGCTGGCTTCTATATTTATCTGTATCTTCATCTTGTGTATACCACACGGTCTTCTATGTACTGGTTCTGGCTAGAACTATATTTATCTGTATCTTCATCTTGTGTATACCACAAGGTCTTCTATGTACTGGTGCTGGCTTCTATATTTATCTGTATCTTCATCTTGTGTATACCACAAGGTCTTCTATGTAGGAATCTATATTTATCTGTATCTTCATCTTGTGTATACCACAAAGTCTTCTATGTACTGGTGCAGGCTTCTATATTTATCTGTATCTTCATCTTGTGTATACCACAAGGTCTTCTATGTACTGGTGCTGGCTTCTATATTTATCTGTATCTTCATCTTGTGTATACCACAAGGTCTTCTATGTACTGGTTCTGGCTAGAACTATATTTATCTGTATCTTCATCTTGTGTATACCACAAGGTCTTCTATGTACTGGGTATATTTATCTGGGTGCTAGAACTATATTTATCTGTATCTTCATCTTGTGTATACCACAAGGTCTTCTATGTACTGGTGCTGGCTTCTATATTTATCTGTATCTTCATCTTGTGTATACCACAAGGTCTTCTATGTACTGGTGCTGGCTTCTATATTTATCTGTATCTTCATCTTGTGTATACCACAAGGTCTTCTATGTACTGGTGCTGGCTTCTATATTTATCTGTATCTTCATCTGTATCTTCATCTTGTGTATACCACAAGGTCTTCTATGTACTGGTTCTGGCTAGAACTATATTTATCTGTATCTTCATCTTGTGTATACCACAAGGTCTTCTATGTACTGGTGCTGGCTTCTATATTTATCTGTATCTTCATCTTGTGTATACCACAAGGTCTTCTATGTACTGGTGCTGGCTTCTATATTTATCTGTATCTTCATCTTGTGTATACCACAAGGTCTTCTATGTACTGGTGCTGGCTTCTATATTTATCTGTATCTTCATCTTGTGTATACCACACGGTCTTCTATGTACTGGTTCTGGCTAGAACTATATTTATCTGTATCTTCATCTTGTGTATACCACAAGGTCTTCTATGTACTGGTTCTGGCTAGAACTATATTTATCTGTATCTTCATCTTGTGTATACCACAAGGTCTTCTATGTACTGGTGCTGGCTTCTATATTTATCTGTATCTTCATCTTGTGTATACCACAAGGTCTTCTATGTACTGGTGCTGGCTTCTATATTTATCTGTATCTTCATCTTGTGTATACCACAAGGTCTTCTATGTACTGGTGCTGGCTTCTATATTTATCTGTATCTTCATCTTGTGTATACCACAAGGTCTTCTATGTACTGGTGCTGGCTTCTATATTTATCTGTATCTTCATCTTGTGTATACCACAAGGTCTTCTATGTACTGGTGCTGGCTTCTATATTTATCTGTATCTTCATCTTGTGTATACCACAAGGTCTTCTATGTACTGGTGCTGGCTAGAACTATCTTTATCTGTATCTTCATCTTGTGTATCTGTACTTCATCTTGTGTCTTCTATGTACTTCTATGTACTGGTGCTGGCTTCTATATTTATCTGTATCTTCATCTTGTGTATACCACAAGGTCTTCTATGTACTGGTTCTGGCTTCATCTTGAACTATATGTTATCTGTATCTTCATCTTGTCTTGTATACCACAAGGTCTTCTATGTACTGGTGCTGGCTTCTATATTTATCTGTATCTTCATCTTGTGTATACCACAAGGTCTTCTATGTACTGGTGCTGGCTGGCTATATTATATTTATCTGTATCTTCATCTTGTGTATACCACAAGGTCTTCTATGTACTGGTGCTGGCTTCTATATATTTATCTGTATCTTCATCTTGTGTATACCACAAGGTCTTCTATGTACTGGTGCTGGCTTCTATATTTATCTGTATCTTCATCTTGTGTATACCACAAGGTCTTCTATGTACTGGTTCTGGCTAGAACTATATTTATCTGTATCTTCATCTTGTGTATACCACAAGGTCTTCTATGTACTGGTTCTGGCTAGAACTATATTTATCTGTATCTTCATCTTGTGTATACCACAAGGTCTTCTATGTACTGGTGCTGGCTTCTATATTTATCTGTATCTTCATCTTGTGTATACCACAAGGTCTTCTATGTACTGGTGCTGGCTTCTATATTTATCTGTATCTTCATCTTGTGTATACCACAAGGTCTTCTATGTACTGGTTCTGGCTAGAACTATATTTATCTGTATCTTCATCTTGTGTATACCACAAGGTCTTCTATGTACTGGTGCTGGCTTCTATATTTATCTGTATCTTCATCTTGTGTATACCACAAGGTCTTCTATGTACTGGGGGCGGTGGGGTAGCCTAGTGGTTAAAGCGTTGGCTCGTCACGCCGAATCTTGTGTATTCCCCACATGGTCTTCTATGTGTTAAGCTGGTTCTGGCTTCTATATTTATGGAATATTGCTAATCTTGTGTAAAACTAAACTCAGTCTTCTATGTACTGGTTCTGGCTAGAACTATATTTATCTGTATCTTCATCTTGTGTATACCACAAGGTCTTCTATGTACTGGTTCTGGCTTGAACTATATTTATCTGTATCTTCATCTTGTGTATACCACAAGGTCTTCTATGTACTGGTTCTGGCTAGAACTATATTTATCTGTATCTTCATCTTGTGTATACCACAAGGTCTTCTATGTACTGGTGCTGGCTTCTATATTTATCTGTATCTTCATCTTGTGTATACCACAAGGTCTTCTATGTACTGGTTCTGGCTAGAACTATATTTATCTGTATCTTCATCTTGTGTATACCACAAGGTCTTCTATGTACTGGTTCTGGCTAGAACTATATTTATCTGTATCTTCATCTTGTGTATACCACAAGGTCTTCTATGTACTGGTGCTGGCTTCTATATTTATCTGTATCTTCATCTTGTGTATACCACACAGGTCTTCTATGTACTGGTGCTGGCTTCTTCTATATTTATCTGTATCTTCATCTTGTGTATACCACACGGTCTTCTATGTACTTTATGGTTCTGGCTAGAACTATATTTATCTGTATCTTCATCTTGTGTATACCACAAGGTCTTCTATGTACTGGTGCTGGCTTCTATATTTATCTGTATCTTCATCTTGTGTATACCACAAGGTCTTCTATGTACTGGTGCTGGTGGAACTTCTATATTTATCTGTATCTTCATCTTGTGTATACCACAAGGTCTTCTATGTACTTGGTGCTGGCTTCTATATTTATCTGTATCTTCATCTTGTGTATACCACAAGGTCTTCTATGTACTGGTGCTGGCTTCTATATTTATCTGTATCTTCATCTTGTGTATACCACAAGGTCTTCTATGTACTGGTGCTGGCTTCTATATTTATTTATCTGTATCTTCATCTTGTGTATACCACAAGGTCTTCTATGTACTGGTGCTGGCTTCTATATTTATCTGTATCTTCATCTTGTGTATACCACACAAGGTCTTCTATGTACTGGTTGCTGGCTTCTATATTATGTATCTTCATCTTGTGTATACCACAAGGTCTTCTATGTACTGGTGCTGGCTATATATTTATCTGTATCTTCATCTTGTGTATACCACAAGGTCTTCTATGTACTGGTGCTGGCTAGAACTATATTTATCTGTATCTTCATCTTGTGTATACCACAAGGTCTTCTATGTACTGGTTCTGGCTAGAACTATATTTATCTGTATCTTCATCTTGTGTATACCACAAGGTCTTCTATGTACTGGTGCTGGCTTCTATATTTATCTGTATCTTCATCTTGTGTATACCACACAAGGTCTTCTATGTACTGGTGCTGGCTAGAACTATATTTATCTGTATCTTCATCTTGTGTATACCACAAGGTCTTCTATGTACTGGTGCTGGCTTCTACTATATTTATCTGTATCTTCATCTTGTGTATACCACAAGGTCTTCTATGTACTGGTGCTGGCTTCTATATTTATCTGTATCTTCATCTTGTGTATACCACAAGGTCTTCTATGTACTGGTGCTGGCTTCTATATTTATCTGTATCTTCATCTTGTGTATACCACAAGGTCTTCTATGTACTGGTGCTGGCTTCTATATTTATCTGTATCTTCATCTTGTGTATACCACAAGGTCTTCTATGTACTGGTGCTGGCTTCTATATTTATCTGTATCTTCATCTTGTGTATACCACACGGTCTTCTATGTACTGGGGGGCGGTGGGGTAGCCTAGTGGTTAAAGCGGTTGGCTTCGTCACGCCTGTATCTTCATCTTCGATTCCCCACATGGGCACAATGTGTTAAGCCCATTTCTGGTGTCCCCCGCCGTGATATTGCTGGAATATTGCTAAAAGCGGCGTAAAACTAAACTCAGTCAGTCTATGTACTGGTTCTGGCTAGAACTATATTTATCTGTATCTTCATCTTGTGTATACCACAAAGTCTTCTATGTACTGGTTCTGGCTAGAACTATATTTATCTGTATCTTCATCTTGTGTATACCACAAAGTCTTCTATGTACTGGTGCTGGCTTCTATATTTATCTGTATCTTCATCTTGTGTATACCACACGGTCTTCTATGTACTGGTTCTGGCTTCTATATTTATCTGTATCTTCATCTTGTGTATACCACAAGGTCTTCTATGTACTGGTTCTGGCTTATATTTATCTGTATCTTCATCTTGTGTATACCACAAGGTCTTCTATGTGCTGGTGCTGGCTTCTATATTAACTTCATTACAACCCAGATAAGACAGAGGCTGTATTGTTCTCGACCAGAGATAGTGACAAGCTAGACAATTTAAATCTTGACGGCTGTAACATTAAAGCTGTACCTTTTCATAAACATCTTGGTGTAACATTATCTTCAAATGGAGGGTGGTCCCATCACATAAATGATATTTTAAAGAAAACCTCCAAAATGATAAATTCCACGAGAAAGTTAAAGTTTTTGTTAAAAAGAACAACGCTAAATAACATCTACACTGTTTTCATTCGTCCTCATTTTGAATATGCGTGTGAATTATGGGATGGATGTACAGCTGATCAAACTAACTCCTTAGAACAGTTACAGTTAGAAGCAGCTCGTATAGTAACAGGACTTCCTAAATAATCTTCCCGTGATCATTTGTATTTTGAAACTAGTTGGGAAACCCTTAGTGAGCGTAGAAGAAACGAAAACTTTGCTTATTTTATAAGATTATTCACAATATTAAACCATCATACCTTCAGGAATTACTACCTACATATGTTGGCCAAAAATCATCTTATAACCTTCGCAACTCTTTAAACTTCTCCCTTCCATTTACTAGATTGAAACTTTCCTTATCTTTTTTCCATCTACTATACAAATGTGGAACAATGTGCCCATAGAAACAAGAAGCATAGATTCTTTAGCAGGTTTTAAATTGAAAATTCAAAGTAAAATAAATGCAGCCCCACCTTTCTTTTGTTCTGGTACTAGGAAATTGAACATTATTCACACAAAACTAAGGTACAATATAAGTCCGCTTAATTACGATTTATTCAGAAATTATTTAACATCAGATGCTTCCTGTACTTCTGGTTGTTCTTGTGAAAATTCATGGCATTATTTTTTAGAATGTTCTTTGTACACAACGCAGCGTAAAGATTTGTTTGTAAATGTAAATACTGTCGTTAAACATCGCATACCCATAAATCTAGACTTATTGTTATTTGGTCATGTTACACTAACACTATATGAAAATGAATTATTATTTGAACATGCACACAGATATATTAAGCTAACTGAAAGATTTTTGTAGTTTTGTTCTTGTATATATTATACACACCCTTTTTAAACACCTTGTAAATTCATTTCACAAATCCCTGTTGTTAATGGGTTTTTTCAATATTGTAAATATGACATATGTAACTTCTGGGAGAGGGCGTTCCTAAGTTGGATAACTTGTGCCCAATCCATTTCATTTTTGAATAAAATATGTTTAGAACAAAACAAATAGTAGGTTTAGACTTGCAGTTGATTTTAGTAGACACATACACTGAACGACTATGAAAAATTTGTACAAAAGGTTGGTAGATTATTTATTGAAAATGAGTTTCATATAATGCTTGTGTGTGAAATTACTCAGCCCTAAGAAATATGTATCTTACGCAGTACATCAAGTCCCACACTGTAACATCTTCATTCGAAATTATTTCATCGGGAAACTTTGATACTGTACACAACTTTTTACTGAATACAATCTGTCTGCTTAAAGCATGCCTAACCAGAACACGAAATGGTGAAACGCGTGATTCTATAAATAGGCTTTCCACTGGTTCCTGTTTCTACTTGAAGCCACCTTTCACTGATCGGTTCACATGGATGACAATCCTTCCCTCACTCACTCCTGCATACTTTGCCAGGTGAAGAGACGACAGTACGGATGTGTGGCTACCAACGACGGAACTCCCGCTGCTTTGAGTCTTGGAACAACCAGTTGACCTTGGATTTCTCCTCTGACCGGATGTTCGAGGGGAGCGGGTACAGAGCCACCTACCGGTTTGTCCCGGATAACGAAACGGGTTCCAGTGAGTAGAATCTACTGACAGCGACTGATTCCTTCAATGCAACGCATGCGTCTTAACCCCATCGCCCCAATATTGGACTGTAAGATAAACTATATCATGGGTGGTGCGGCCAAAACGTTTATTGCAACTGACTGCATATGTTATAACATTGTTATATCAGGTTGTGTGCGTATGTGTGTAAGTTGGACTGGGTATGTCTGTAATGAAGAATGTGAGAGCGTGTGTGGGTACATGTTTATATATGTTTGCACATGTATATGTCGGTCTCTGTGTGTGTGCGTGTGTGTGTGTGTGAGAGAGAGAGAGAGTGATTGATTGAGTGAGAGTGAGTGAGTAAGAGGGAGAGAGAGTGACTGAGTGAGTGAGTGAGAGCATGAGAGTGAGTGTGAGAGAGTGAGACAGAGTGAGTGAGAGTGAAAGAGTGAGAGAGTTAGAGTGAGGGAGACAGAGGGGGCTGGGGAGAGGAGGTCGGGTGTGGGAGATGATGCGTTATGGAGAGTAGTGAGTAGGTTGTACGTACATGTGCGCGTGCGTGCGTGCTTGCGTGAGTGAAGAATTACTATCACACGTCGGATAACACCGACATACAGAAAGGAGAGTTACCGTCCGTGTATTGTTTCTTGATACTTCCTAATTGTTCCTGAAACCATGTTCTCACGTCCACCTCGTCTGGTTGATATCACAGAACATGTAAGACACATGCAATTAGACCTAACACAACCTTGTTCCAGTCTGCGACATGTCTTCATGTGACAGCAACTGCAAGGGCTACTGCTACAGTAAAGGCAAGGGAGACTTCCTCTGCGCATGCCCGGCAGGGAAAGTACCTGACGATTGTTCTTTAAACGTGAGTACTGACAAACTTACTCTCATCTAATCAAACAAGCAGGCTTTATGTACCATGACGAAAGTCTTATGAGCTGGCATATTACAAACAGTTTGAATATAGCAAAAGTTTGGTGAGTTTGCCGGTAGGCTGCTCATCCACTTCCCTTAGTGTTTGTTTAACATAACGCGGAGAAAATATCACTTTATAGGTGTGGACTCTATCGCCGACTGTCCATCGCGACTGACAAAACGAGTACAGTTCTTTAGTGAAGCGTCAGTCCTTGTTAGTGAGTTAGTTGAATCTTATGCATATTTCAGTAATATTCTAGCATTACCACAAAGCGTCATGCCCAAACTGAAATCCGCCCATATTCTACCCATTCTGCCCTTATGGGTAATCCGTGCCTGATGACGCCCTTATTGCAAGCAGCAATATTCGACCATATTTCGGCTGCGTGAACATATTAGGACAGTACAGTACTGTACAGTACAGTACAGTGATTGACATATCCTGGACGACCTCGCCGCCGGAATACTATGACACAGTATTAAGTCACCGAGCCTGACCAGCGGATCTGTTACGTCGCTTCCTGCTACGAGTACATAGCGGTGGGGTAGCCTTGTGGTTAAGCGCTTGTTCGCTATGCCGAAGATCCGGTTTCGATTCCCCACATCAGTACAATGTATGAAACCCTTTTCTGGTGACCCGTCGTGATATTGTTGGAATATTGTTAAAACGACGTAAAACTTTAACTCACTCACTCACTACTACCAGCACCGGGCGCTGAGGAAGTGTCGTCACCATCAACCTTACGGGGGCGGGTGATGCGGGTGCCTACTGGTTAAAGCGTCCGGGTTCGATTCCCCACATGGGTAAAATGTGTGAAGCCCATTCCTGGTATCCCCCGCCATGATATTGCTGGAATATTGCTTAAAGCGGCGTAAAATCATACTTACTCTCTCACTTACATACTCTTCCACTGTTTCAGGTGAATTGGACGGACACAGAGAAGAACGTGACGGTGTATGAACGATCACAGGTCACGCTAGACTGCTCCGTGAACCACCCGTACGCCGTCACGGTATGGTGAGTACACACGACCTGTCTGTACTACTAACGTAGCATCTGCTGTACAGCCTGCCCTCTACGAGGGCTGCCTAAAAACATCAATAATAGGAAATAACGTCGATAGGAAAACCTTTGAGTGATTATCGATATGAAAATAGTGTCATCGACAATATCGAACACAAACGTTTGTGACAGAATACAGTTTTTTACTTATTCAATCAATACACAAAGTAAGTTTATTCATGGGCTGCTTCTAGATTATGTTCAGGATGTTGTTTTGTTAGTAATCCATGCTTAAACATGTCGCCACTCACTAGTGGTTTGAAAAATATTATTCATTTCTTTCGGACTTTCATTAACAATTTTGGTCAAAGTTACTTCTCCGATATTTATCGATAATCGATCGATAATTACTGAACGATTATCGATCTCAAGTATCTATATCGATAGCCAGTCCTACTATACTCATGCCAATAGTGGTTGTCATCCCCCTCCCCACCCCAACCCCCCACACACCTCACACACCCACCCCACACACCCTCTCCAATTAGAAAAAACATGAAGGGGGTGACGACCATTATTGGCATGAGTATATTTACGTCAGCGGACGCCGTCTTTCGTTGATGTTCTGAAAGTCGGCATGACCTTTTGTCTTGTCATATGTAAAATGGGATTCATATGTTGACAATATCTAGTGCAGTGTCGGTGGTCAGGGAATACGTCTTATGCAATTGAATACTATAGAAGCATAACTGAGGATTTGAGTAGCCAAAATGTTCCACTCCCACTTTCAGGGACTTCAACGACATCCTGCTGCCTGACGATACGATGCCACATGTCAGGGTGGACGAGTCCACTATGACCCTGGAAGGGACACGGGCGAATGACACTGGGAGATATACATGTACAGTACAAGCCGGGGAATGGTTGAGGTCACGAACCATATGGCTTACCGTCAAACCAGGTAAGCTGTAATTACCTCCCTTGTGTGTTCTTTACTGCTTGGAAAAGCACCATGTTTTTGTAAACAGTGAATTCTGTATTCCAAGATTTGGTAAATAACTGGATAGGGGCACACAATCAAATATGTAAGGGTTTAGATACTTTGATATTTGTCTTGTCACTGAAGGAAATATCCATTGACTCTTTGCAATCAATCTTATATGCATTGATGGAGTTTTTTTGTATTTAAGTTGCTGCAAACTTAATCAAAGATCAGACAGAAATATTTCTAGACGGGATAGACGAATGTATGAGTGCAGCTTTTGGCACCGCCGTTGAATTTTAACAAAATATTTGGATTTATAATTCATATGATTAATGCTAATATGTTGATTATACTTATAAGGTGTGACATCAAAAGATGATAATATCCGAAACATGAGTTGAAATAGCTGAGCCCACCAATACCCTTAATAATTGTTTTTAATCAACTCACAAACAAGATTTGAGATTAGGGAATTGAAGTATTGTTGCTATTTTATTTTCCAAGCGGGACTATTTGGCAAACCTAATCTGTCTAATTGTTTTGTTTGGATTTTGGAGTTGTTCAATTTCTACAAATGTGTTGTGTAACATGAGTGAGTGAGTGAGTTTAGTTTTACGCCGCACTCAGCAATATTCCAGCTATATGGCGGCGGTCTGTAAATAATCGAGTATGGACCAGACAATCCAGTGTTCAGCAGCATGAGCATCGATCTGCGCAGTTGGGAACCGATGACATGTGTCAACCACGTCAGCGAGCCTGACCACCCGATCCCGTTAGTCGCCTCTTACGACAAGCATGGGTTACTGAAGATCAATATTCTAACCCGGACCTTCACGGGGCGTTGTGTAACATGGAGCGTCACATACAAATATAGGTCCCAATAAGCATGGCAGATATAGTAACAGATATGGCAGTGGCTGCACCTGTTTACCTGATATTTATAGGTATGTACACCTACATTCCATTTAGCCAACTACAATTAACTACGCGAAATATATGTAAACTATACTGACATAAACAATACGTTGAAGCAGTAAAGGAATGCGAGCTTTTGTACCCTTTGATCAGCTCCCCTTTCCAAATAGTGAGTGAGTTTGGTTTTATGTCGCTTTTAGCAATGTTCCAACAATATCACGACGGGGAATACCAGAAATGGGCTTTACACATGGTGCCCACGTGGGGAATCGAACGCCTTCGGCGTGACGAGCGAACGCTATAACCGCTAGGCTACCTCACCTCCGGTGGTCCAAATAACAAGCATTTGCTCTCCCACACAGATGACAAACTCTGTGGGTTTTCGTCCAGCAAGATAATCAACCCAAACGTCAACAATGCTGCTAAGAAGGTAACCGGAAAAAATTCAACAGAAGCCCCAGATTTCATCCCTTGGCAGGTCGTCCTTTGGAATGTAGCTAAGGTAAGGAATTTGTTGGATTTGAGTTTACTCTGCAATACCGAATAGACGGTCCATTTATGATGGTAACGTCCTAGGGTTACGTCCCCTGTCACGTTATGATTGCATGAAATGTTCTCATACTCAATATGCTATTCACTGGCTGGGAATATTTAAGCCCTTCGGCTACAAGTAACAAAAACATTGTCCCACACAAACGACACTTTAGTTAACACAAACCACTGACGTGTTCCAGGAGTCTGTCCATTGTGGAGGTGTCTTAATAACAGACCGATACGTCCTCACTGCGGCACACTGTGTGTATGGTAGCCTCAATCTATCTACCATCAAGGTGGTGATGGGAACGAAGTCTTGCAAAGGTAAGAATGGGGAGAAGAGAGGTGTTGTTCGGTTTGTGACGCACCCAAGCTATACAACTTTGAGTCTGGAGTTCGACTTTGCTATTCTGGAACTGGAACGACCGGTCCGAACCCTCTCCGAGTCTATCTACCCGATTTGTCTACCTACCCCGAAAGTCTGGTCGAGCATCACAACTGGCCAGATGGCTATTGTATCCGGTTGTGGCAGCGATTCCCATCGCCGTCTCCCGGACCGGCTGCGTATGGTAGACATCCCTCTTGTATCGAGAGAGAAGTGTAAGGAAGAGCAGGAGAGGAGCAATAGAATCTTTTCAGACGACATGTTCTGTGCCGGTTACAACAGCGACAACATCGGGGACGCGTGTGAGGGGGATAGCGGCGGGCCAATGGCTGTGAGAGTGGACAACCACTGGACTGTTATTGGACTGGTGTCGTTCGGTCGAGACTGTGCCAAGAATGGCAGTTACGGTTTCTACGCCAATGTGTCTCACGCCCTACCCTGGATACAGACCTTTGCAGGTATGATTTAGTCAAACCTCTACGTCAGTGAAAATAGTGTAAACGTTACCTGCTTCCAGGTCGTGGTATTCAAAGAAGGCACGGTTGTGTAGCCTTGTGGCACAAGAGGTCTCAGTTCATGCTGGAGAAGCAGGTCGGTGTCCGTATTTGTTTGATGCCATTATGCCCTTGTTGGAGTAGTGCTGCAAGCGGTCTTACGCACTCCCTCTCTCAGTAAGGCTTCATAAATGAAAGGTGTGGTTCCAGCTTCCGGGACCAGGTTCTACAACGATATTGTAATACATTATGTTCTATTTGTCTTGGTAGTGTTATGCTGGTGGTTTTGGATGGAGCCAAAACTACAAGTATGCCGAAGACGGTAATAAAAAGATCCAACCACGGCATATCACTTAAGAAACTGTGTTTTTCACACAAGTATTGTGACTATTAATCTTATTATAATTATCATTATTTAGGATCATGTGGTAAAACCCGGTTTATCGATGAGAACTACAGTACTGGAAGGATTATCAACGGACACGATGCCCTTCCAAATCAGTTCCCATGGAGTGTAGCATTGGTCAATGCAGCAACCAAGAACCTGCAGTGTAGTGCCACCATCATCAGTGACTCGTGGCTCTTGACAGCTCGACACTGCTTGGAAGAGTAATGTGTCATTAAATGCCTACCTTTCATAGTCGTAGTTATTGCGATAAAATACTGTGTTTATTGTGTAATGCCACACTCGGCAATATTCTATCTATATGACGGCAGTCAGTAAATAATCGAAACTGGACCAAACAATCCAAGGGTTGACATTATGAGCATCGATGTACACTATTTCAATGCGATGACATTTCAGCCAAGTCAGCGAGATAGATCACCAGGTCCCGTTAGTCGCATCTCACGACAAACATGGGTCGCTGAAGATTCTTACCTGGATCTTCAATGGCCATATGATAGGCTATAGTTCAACCTATACCAACAAGCAGTAAACATTAAACCTTGAATTGATATTACCTCTTAGCATCAGTGGTTACGTTGTTCTATTGGGTCATCTGTTGTACTATTGGGTCATCTGTTGTACTATTGTACCGTAACGCCGGGCACGAATGGTCGCCCGTTGTGCCGTAAATCGCCTTGCAAGTTGCGTACCTTATGCAGACCGGAAATTGGAGATTATGGAACCAAATCCCAGTTTGCTATCACCATGCTTTTGTGTTTCATCTCGTCATTTCGAGCTTTCCGCCCAAATTTACCGCACACAACGCAATGTTTCTGGAATATTGCCTAAAGCGGCGTAAAACTCACTCGGTCATTATATTATAACCTCGTTTCACAAGCGACGTTACCATTTCAAATCTCTGTTAGACTCCAATAATATTTTGATTACATGCAAGAGTAATTGATCTGGCGATTCAGGATTCGAATCCGGCTTAAGGGACATTAATAATAACAAAATATAGATATGCACACTGTCACGTACTTAAGTAAACACTACAGAAGAATAGGTTTTTAAAACTTTATTCCTTCCCTTAACATATATTTAAACCCCGATAACTTCTAAATGTAAACTAATTCTGAAAGTTTAGCAACTAAGTTACCTTACTACCTAAATTAACTGTACATACATTTCTGGCCCACCTCTAATATTACTAATATTCTCCTATAAACAATATTACCACTATACTAATACAAATGTTTTTTCACAAACACTAATATTTATGGTGCTGATCTAATACCAACAATGCTACTAACTATATCAATACCCTAATACCCACACTAATATAAGCAAGGACTATACACAGAATTGTATACAAAAGAAATTACACAAACAAGTGTGAGTGAGTGAGTTTAGTTTTAAGCCGCATTCAGCAATATTCCAGCTTTATGGCGGCGGTCTGTAAATAATCGAGTCTGGACCAGACAATCCTGTGATCAACAGCATGAGCACCAATCTGCGCAATTGGGAACCGATGCCATGTGTCAACCAAGTCACCCGATCCCGTTAGTCGCCTCTTACGACAAGCATGGGTTACTGAAGATCAATATTCTAACCCGGATCTTCACAGGTGGAAACAAACAAGAAGGAAAACTGATATCCACTGTCTTCCAGATGATGTACAACGGAATTATATATACCATCTTACAATGTCTCATGTTACTAAGACCCGTGAAGATCCAGGTTAGAATTGGCGTTCAGTAACCCATGCTGATCGGTGGTCAGACTCACTGACTTGGTTGACACATGTCATCGTATCCCAATTGCATAGATCGTTGCTCATCACTGGATTGTCTGGTTCAGGTTCGATTACTTTCAGACCAGTATTTGTTTTCCAATAAACTCCCCAGTCTTCCTGGTCACGCTTCCTTGAATCTAACCCTGTTCCCACAGTATTACCGGATAGTATCTAACAATAACCCCTCAAAGTCCAACAGCCAAATCTAACACTACATCTATCTGAAGTCCCATTCCCTAATACATATAAACAAAATCATCCGTGGTCTTTACACGCGTAATATCTGTGACTGTTAAGGATGTTCTTTGCCATTCTGTATATTCTTTATCTACAGGCTGTCAGTCCGTCAAAGACAAAACTTGCACTCCTTCCCTGGGAGTTTAAAGTTGAAGACAGACCAAAACAGGACAGAACATGGGTTAAAAAAAGCAATCTTACGTAAGTTGGACGATGTAAATGTTTTGCTTTTGAAAAAGTGCAAAAAACACTATTCATTCATGAACAAGTTTTTTTCTCTCGCTATGAGATCTCTCTTGCTTAAATCTAAACATTATGGGTTGAAGCAGATGAAGACGTCACCATCCTATCAGGGACTGATTTCGGTTGGACGAGCAGGTGCTATGATATCGACATTTCGTTTTGCAGATAACAGTGAAGATCTAGCCTTGGTTAAAGTGGACCCTATACTGTTTAACGATGCTGTCCAAGCAGCGTGTTTGCCTGCTAAGGATGATACCATTGAACCAGGGACGGAGGGTGTGGTGTCGGGATGGGGGAAGACATCACTTGATAGTGAAGGTAAGATGTTAAACTTTCTAATTTCTACTTTGTCTGAGACTTTACAGAAAATATGTACCTTCTCGACATCACCCATTATATTACAAGACACATCAGTGATGTCATTCTCTTGTCTTTACGAACGTTTTTCATGTCGATGTTATCTTGAAACCACATTACAGTTTATATACACATGTAATAGACGAGCTATTGAGCGATATTGGAATAAGCCTTGAACCATGTATTGTAAAGACGATCTTCTTAACAGGAGTATGTCGTCATTTGGAATCTCCCGTCGTGATATTGCTGGAATACCATTAAAGCGACGTAAAACTTACCCAAACCTGGATTGCTTTCCAATTCCTTGAAATAAGTCTTCCTTGGGGTACTTAAGCATTTTTTTCACAAAAAGTTTTTGAGCTATTTTTTTAAACAAAAACCTTTTGACGTTGTGGCATGCAGTGGTGTGCGGATTACGTCCCTTTCCTGAAACTATGTCACTGCGGTTTACCTATCATGCCCTGCAACTTCCTCTTTGGAGGTGGGAAGGTTTACTTCAAGGAATTGGAAACTTCTCCAGGTTTAGGTAAATCGTCTTCAGAAGAAGTCTCCCTTGGGGTACTCTAGCATGAATACAAACTCCCAGATATAAGTAATGTTAGTGGTCTATATAGCAACAACCAAAACAATGGTAAGTATGAAGGTAACGCTTACCTGATGGCTCTACAGACGACTCTAGGGAGGCTGTCTATGGGCCACCGAGGTGCTCATGGGATATTGTATAGCAATATAACGTGACCTTAGAGTCAAATACACCCACCCCGACGTAAAGATACTGGTAATGGTACTATCTTGTTACCAAAATTATTATTCTTTTAACATTTCAGCTGTCACGTCAAACCACCTGCTGTACATAATGGTGTCTCTTCTGAACACCACCCAATGCAAGAATGAGACGGAGAATGCAATTCAAGACAACCGTGTGTGCTTTAAGGCTAGGGACACCACCTCCGAGGCAGCCTCTGGGGACAGCGGCAGTGGCCTCATCGTCAAACACACAGGTAGCACATATTTAAATTACACCTTACTGACTCCGACCGTCCCCAGTTGCACAAATGAGTACCGTGTCATATGCTGCCCTGTCACATATCTGTATTGTCTGTGTTATTTATTGATGACGTATCTTTGGCAGGCATGAAACTAACACTAGTGACTGTTACCGCAGATTTGACGATTGATTGTTTGAATGATATATGTTTGAAGAAACTAAATTTACAGAAAGCAAAACAGCTGTAACTATGGCCTATATGTTTTAACTCTATACGTCTGTACACGTGCAAACGAGAAAGAAGATTGTATGAAGAAATACATGTCTAATAAGCTAGGCAAGAATATATTGATACAGCCAACGTATTAATTAATCCATATTCAGATATAGATTGCTGACGTCAGGTAACTCTACTCTACACCGAAACAGATTCCCTTGGGCTTAAAGGAACCTTGGGCGGTGAAAAGTATATGAAACGATGGCGAAAACAAAGAGATGCTACCATGGGTTCACAATGAGGGTCAGGATGTCATGAACATCTAAATGCCCTTCTGAGTACTCACTTTAGGAATAACTTCATTTTGCAGCATAGCTTTAATGTCTCGCCCTTAGACGTTTCATATGTAATTGACTCAGCACGATTCTGCATGAGACTGAGCATGATCGGTAATGCCCGTCCACCAGCAGAAACCCATTTCATATGAACATATAACATCAATGCCAGAGAATAACCAGTCTCCATTATCATACTGTCAGCAGACTGTGGTAAAATAGCGCCATACATATCATTAAACAAATTCTAATAATTTTTGTGAACGTTGGTCTCGTTAATAACCATAGTTTTTTCTGCTTTGAAAGAGCTCTTTTGCACATTCAACACCACATTCAGTCCAATCAAGCATGAAGGCATTGGAGGCCAGAGCTCTGGGGTCTGGAATGCGAGAGCAGAAGGTCGGAATCTGGTGTGTCCCCCCAGACGCAAACAGTTCGTAGTACAACCGGGAAATAACCCAGAGTCGAGCATTCCCCGAGACAGGGCATCAGCTCGGACATTCTCCAACCCCAGGAGGTATACCTGAGTTACTGAAACATTGTACTGATCGTACCAGGAGGAACTGCCATGTTTCCCAGGGGCGCGATGGCGAGACCGTGCCCCCATGCATCAGAATATAGGTCATCGCCGTTGGATGTCCACCTCTAGACGAACCGTCTGGTTTCGAACCTGCTATTTGAAGCATTTAAATACCAGTCTGCCAACTCTCAGCTCCAACACATTGATGTGTAAGCGAGTCTCCGTCTCAGACAAAAGGCTGGAAGCTGTGAGCCTGCTCATGATGCAGCGTCAGGTGACAGCAGCATCCCCTGGACCTGACAGACAGGGCCAGTACCATCATCAGTTTGGTGAACACTCTCGGAGCCGTAGCGAGACCGACCGGAGCACCTTCAACAGGCAGTGCACCCCGTCGAAGTAGGACTTGAGGTATCTCTTGAACAAAGGGTGCACCGTGATATGAAGATACGCATCTTTCAGATCGATATATGTTAGCCAATCTCCTGGCTGAACAGATCACTGAGCGCAGTGTCTCCATCTTGAAGGAAGGTATGTCTATGGGGCGGTTTAGACCCCTGAGACCCCTGGGTCATTTTAGGGACCAGGAAATCCGTCAAGTACATGCCATCTGTTTCCTGTCCCGATGGCACGACCTTGACCGTGGCCTTGTCTAGCAACGCCATGATTGTAATAACTCCGGCTGCTCTGTCATATGGCCCTCCCTTAGCGTGGATAGGACCCAGGGGTTTGTGGTAACGTTCTCCCAGTCCCGTAGGAAGTGGGAGAGTCGGCTGAGTCAATTAAACCACAATAAATATATACCATATCAACCTGTCGTCGAAGGACAGTAAAAATACAAGAATATCACAGATTTGGTTAAAAACTTGTATGTTGTACTAAAATCTTTGACTGCAGAAAACAATACAAAATAAAATAACAAGCTACTGATCGCCAGCAACTGAAGGTAGATCACCATACCAGGGACCATGGGACTTACAGTACTCTTACTTTTCTGCATGGACCCCAGCTGGATTTACACCATCCCCTCAGGTTTTGGCGATATTGCAGAAATTTAGCCGATCATTAAAAGAACAACTATTCTACTATTAAATTCTCACCCTTGAAGATCATATGATGGTTTCTTAGGACGCAGGGTAAGAGGCGTCCTGGGCAGGAGGGCGGGTCGAAGGTGTTGCTCCCTACAAGAGCCTTGACTCCTTGTAAGGTGCAGTGGCCTCCACGGCCTCCTTGACAATATGATCCGATCCCGGAAAGAGGGAAGCACCATCATAGGAAGGGCCATCAGATTGTCCTTGTGCTGGACCTGATAGCTGGAGTAGCTCAGTCACAGCTGGAACATGCCCATCACACACAGTGCCCATTAACCCAGCCGTTGCAGCGCGTAGAGCGTCCTTGGCCAGGTGAGCCCCAAACTCGTCGAGTTGTCTCTGAAGGATGGTGCCAGGGAACGAGTCCCTGTCATACTTCCGAGACTGCGCCCGACCCGACTGCAGAGCAGCCAGGTAGGCACTGTGTACTGCCACCCGCAGTTGCTGTCCAGTTCAGCAGTTGCGCTCTTTAAGCGCCTTGTACTGGGCAAGCAAAAGCAGTGCCCGCTGGTCTCCGGGAGGACAGAAGCAATTAGATTGCGGACCTCCCCGGGCGCAGAGGCGAAGTGGAAGACCTCGGCTTCCTTATCGCTGTTGTCCACCTCATGCTCCTCCTTCAACTTGCCTCCCCTCGCCGGAGGTACCCAATGGGGCCGGTGATAGGATGGGTGATGGAGATAAGAGTGGAAGGGGGAGCAACATGGCCACTTCCTTGCTGGAAAAAGAATGAGGGTTAACTTATAACCTGAAAAACAGAGTAATCATGTTTCGATGTGTAAGTGTGTAATGAATGACCGAGAAAAGAGGAAGAGATAAGTCCTCCGCCTTCAACCGCTAAGGGGAATAACTCTCTTAAGGGGGATAACACTGCTCACGGTGTTGCATACCACAACTAACAAACGTTTATTTTTTAAATGTTAAAAACATTTTAACCCTGTCATTAAGATATGTTCCCGAGAAAAGCTAGAGTACCCCAAGGAAGACTACTTCTGAAGAGGAATCATGTTATATGAAGCCGGTCTGTAAATAGCCGAGTCTCGGCCAGACAATCCAGTGATTGACATCATGAGCGTAGATCTACGCAACTGAGATACGATGACATGCATCCACCTAGTCATCGAGCCTGACCACCCGATTCCATTATTCACCCGGTTCGCCAAGCATGGGTTGCCGAATACCAATCCGGATGTTCGCGTGTTCCTTTACTTTCTCTTAGAAGGGTTAGATGTGTAGGTAAGGTCGCCATGCTGAGAAGCTCGCAGGTCGTAACTGACCATAGTGTGGACGTCGATAGTGAGTCAGACTCGCTGACTTGGTTGACACTCATGGTATCCCAATTGCGTAGATAGATGCACATGCTGGATTGTCTGTCCAGACTAGATTAATTACTGACCGCGGCCATACAGCTGGAATATTGCGGCGTTAAATACAACAAACAAACGAAACTACTGTCACACATACTGTGAAATGGTCTGCCTGTTATTGAACTTCTGACCTTTAAAATACAGTTACAGGTTAATTTGATTATTGACACGTGGCGACAACAATATTTGATCACATCGTGTGTGTTCTCGCTGTATCATAAACCAAAATATGATTATGCTCAACTTTGTGTTAGCAATCGCCAGAAGGAAGCACTGATAAAGTGTATGCCTCATGAATAGAGCAATTGTCTCCCTAGACTCAACGGTACAAGTCAAGGGGTTGTGGCTCTTGCAGGTTTACAATATAGATGTGAAAACCAGAATTGTAACGAAGTACTTACGAATGTACAAATGTACGCTGCGTGTTCATATGGTAGGTTGACAGTTTCGGAGCTCTTGATGTACATTGCGTTGTCTTTTCATTCAGATACCAACACTCTGATGGCAGTGTACAATGGAGTATTTCCCGGTCGCAACAAACCTGGCGTGTATACGAACATCCAACCCTTCGTTCCTTGGATCAAGAGGAAAATGGGATGGAAGTCGGTGTGAATTATGCTAATTGCGTTATATACGTTTGTATATAACGATGTCCTGTTATATTATGGGACACACTTCCGGTAATACTAGATCGTGTATGTCAGGACAGGTGTCAGGTGTTGAAGTACCTGTTGTTTCACTGGTATACTAAAACAAATTTACAAATTATCATCTGAATCACTGTCAAGGCAATGTCGAGGTTCAATCAGGGCCTAGGTTACATCAAGGTCTAGATTGACTCACTGCCTAGACTGCGTTTTGACAGTATTCAAGGATGTCAGCTTGCAAAAAATATATTAGCTAATGATAGCCATGTCAGCAGAAACCCAAAAGCGTATATTCTGCAGGTCATATATATGTGTCTTATGCGGATTTTCATTTGTTGTGAGATCAGTGTTGGCGACCGGTGAAGAGTTAATCCATTTTGTAAGTCCCGCCGAACCCTAAATAGTAGCCGTTGTCCGACTGGTTAAATCCGTTCTGTCGTCACGCGTTTGATTGGAAGGTCATAGGTCGCTCAAAGGTTACCTAACGCGACCTTCCACAGGGTTTTGTTAGATTCAGTATAGCAGTGTAACGAATAATACTGAGCCTAAGTTTACTTAGACTGCTGCCTAGACAGAATATTGTCTATATATTGAATCATTTAGGTTGATTCATGGTGTAGCTTGGATCACGGTGTAGGTTACATCACAGTCTAGGTTGAATCATGGTCTAGGTTGAATCACGGTGTAGGTTACATCACAGTCTAGGTTGAATCACGGTGTAGGTACATCACTGTCTAGGTTGATTCACGGTGTAGGTTACATCACAGTCTAGGTTGAATCACGGTGTAGGTTACATCACACTCTAGGTTTCTTCACGGTGTAGGTTACATCACAGTCTAGGTTGAATCACGGTGTAGGTTACATCACAGTCTAGGTTTCTTCACGGTGTAGGTTACATCACAGTCTAGGTTTCTTCACGGTGTAGGTTACATCACAGTCTAGGTTGAATCACGGTGTAGGTTACATCACAGTCTAGGTTAGGTTACATCACGGTGTAGGTTACATCACAGTCTAGGTTTCTTCACGGTGTAGGTTACATCACAGTCTAGGTTTCTTCACGGTGTAGGTTACATCACAGTCTAGGTTGAATCACGGTGTAGGTTACATCACAGTCTAGGTTGAATCACGGTGTAGGTTACATCACAGTCTAGGTTGAATCACGGTGTAGGTTACATCACAGTCTAGGCTGATTCAAGGTCAAGGTTATATGACATCTCACCGAAGCAAGGGAATTACTTGAACAGAAAAGTCCAGTTTTCAAACTTGACGAACTTGGCTGAAACTCCTGGGGTGTATTTTGGTTGGATTAACGAGTCTAAATGCATAGTTCAATCATAAAATCGCGAAACGAAATCATGGTGGATGATGTGTAGATTTTGACTGATTGCAGGATTGCAAAACATATGTTCTGTTAACTGGGAGTTGACATCCACGATACAACGTAATTCCAGTTTAGTTTGTAAAGGCTGGAAACTAGACCTCTGTGGGTTGGTTATCTTTCCATCCTTCTATATACATATGTGTCTATATAGAACCATGGTCTATGCTGATTCACGGTTTCAAGTAAAATCATGATCTAAGGTGATTCACGGTCTATGTTGATTTATGGTCTGCGCTGATTCACGGTTTATGTAAAATCACGGTCTATGCTGATGAAAAGTCAACGTTAAATCAATGTCTGTGTAGATTAATTATCTGTATGTATTCACGATCTATATTTGAAATACTTTACTGGATTACTGTCTGAGCAGATTCATGTCTATGATCATTTATGGTCTGTATCAACTCACGGCCTATGTTGAATCACGACCCGTGTTGAATCACAGGCAATGTTGAATCTGTGTCTTTGTTTAATCACTTTGTATGTTTTTTCTTAGATTACAAGAATTCTTGATATTTTCATTTCCGATACATTGATGCTTTGTTAGTAACCGCATGTTAAGACTGAAAATACTTCCATGCTAATATATAAATATGGTATGATATCCCTAAATACCATGCTTCGTTCATGTTGTGTTCTCATTGTGATTGGGCTGGCATCAACATCTACTGTGAATAACGGGTTGGATAAAAGGAATCTTCGAAAGATGAACCACAGATCGAATTCTAATCAACATTTGTCTGATGATTGACTTCAGTCATCATCCAACAACATCATTAACGACCCGCCGACAATGTCATGCACAATGTCACCATCTGACATCATCAGCGACATTAGGGCAGTGACATGCACGTTATGTGTCACCAATAATTCAAGGTGAACGTATTTGCAAAATATCCAACTGTGAAATCTCAAACATTCTTCAAACTTTAGTAAATGAGTCAAGTTTTATGCTACTTTCTGTAATATTTCAGCAATATCACAACGCAACACATGTTATATATCGGAGTACACTTTTATCAGTAAAGTTCAGAATCTAGTACTGTTAAGGGATGATCCGGACTTATATTCTCAGAAAGCGCCTAATCGCCAGCACACACACTGTATCCAGCTTGGGAATCGAACAGGGCCCTTGGGTGTGATGGTCGAACGCTTTAACCACGAGGCTCCCCGACCGCCCCCTTAATCTTTTAACACAATATGATTTAAATATATTGATGTATGATACAAATATGATAGGATATGTCATGCATAAATTATATCTGAATGACCAATAGGACCCTTAAGTCATCGTGAAATATGAAATATACTACCCGAAAGAACTCAACACTGGATTCTGTAGTTAATCTGTCATTAACATATTGTGGTTCACAATGTAGAATTGAGTCCTGTCGAATAATAACAAAAAATAATAATAATAAAAAGCACTGAATTTATTTCCCAAACAAACATAAATATCTGAGATCTGTTCGGAGAGTTCCGATCCATTTCATAGAGCTAACTAATTGTTGGTAATTGTGATGACTTCTTGCTAAAGCTAAACATCATTCTTTATACAGCTATACATCATGGCAGTTCTACCGTGAGTAAACAGTTACAAGTGTGTGCCAATATGGCACTACTGTGACAATGTGTGCAAATGTCTTGGCACTGTTTACGCAGAACTTAGGTCAACAGTGTTGTTTAATCTTGGTCGGCAGCGTTGAAGCTTCTTCACTGAGTGACAAATGTATACAGTCGTGTATAATGTTTATCTACAATATCCTCGCATGACGGATGACCTGGTCCATGACCGGGCGCCGTCCCCACCTCGGTTACCCGAGCAATGTGGTCATGCATATGAAGCAGCCATATAATCACAACCACCTACACGTCCACACAAGACACTACGACTGCGTGAAATGACATTGTAATGCACTTTATTGGAACAAGTCGAGACGTGCAACCCATGTGATGAAATCATTAACATTAATCAAGCGCTTAAAGAGGACGTAACATTTACATACGAATTACATAAGGAAATGTCACCAATTTTTCTTCCCGTTGTGACATGATGTAACAATGGCATTCCCATTACAAATCACCGATGAGGGTGTACGTTTCACTGGGGTCAAGTAAATGAGCCTGGCCCGTCTGAAATCATGCCTCTAGGATCTCGGTAATGACGTACCAGCATATAGGGCATCTTAATTTTGTCGTCTCAAGTAACAGGCTGTTTTAATGATGAAAGCTTAAGACCGCTTCAGTTTACGTGTGAAAACCAAGAAACATGCCGAATGAGTGCGTTGTCTTAAAGAAACAGGCCGTCTCACTGGTGACGTTGACAGAAAGAGACCGTTTCGGTGTTGACGTCGCAATATCCAGGCTGTGTCAGAGACGTTTCAAGAAACCTGATGTCTCTGTAGGGACGTCTCAACGTATGATCTACCGCACTCTATGCCAAACATGAGCAATGGATGAAATATTCACAGAGATACAAACGATATAAATAATATTTACATTGATAAGAAATTTTGTCTATATTAGGACGGCATTGCTTATTTACATTATGTACATAACTGTCGCAAAGAGGCAAAACATAATAAAGATATCACTGTAACATCACGTGATATCACTTCAACCGTTCGTGTTGATATTACTTCTACTCACGATATAACCACAACATAACCGTACGTAATATCACTAGGACTGTATGTGATATCAGCACATGAATAACGAATCTTTAAGTGAATTCTTCATTTTTCATTTAGGGCTGTTTGAGAACACGATCATTGGACAAAAGCGAATACGTTAGATGTTTCCAAATACTGCCGGTGTCAAGCCCTTCACGTCTTGTCGCGGCTGCTGACCGTGGTTGGTGTTGCGGCAACGTCTTCCACGTGACGACGACTTCGCACTGATGGGCAGTCTGTCACGTTGGAGGTTAACACCGACAACTTCAACGAGTGCATATTCATCAACTTCAGAGCTAGAAACCACAACACGACAGGATGTACTGACGCTGATCGTTGTAAAGTTTTAACGTTCGTTATTTGCTTCGTAGTCTCAGAATAAGATGGATTGGCCCACAATCCTGGCATTTTGGTTCACGATTTGGAAACCATTTAAGGTTTAAATAGTACAGATATTGTGAAAAATAACTCTCTGACCATAAAACAAGACTCTAAGTTTTTTTAGCAGTATATGTTCCCGATTAGTTGTCAACGTGCAACCGTGTCACCATTGCCATCATTTCACATATTATACCGATTATACATGACAGTCGGTCTCCAGCAACAACTCAAATCAACAATGGTGAAAGCCAACATACGCTATATGGTTAACTGATCAACAACTTGAACGCCTCCCCCCACCTCGAATAATGCTTAACTGAAACATTATTATACAATCACAACACTAAATATTGATATTCAAGATACTAATAATATTTGGTCATTTTTTTTATAAAGTACATATATTTTACTACAGGAAAGAGACATAACACACAAAACATACTGCGTTCATTAACTCCCCAAATTCCATATTCTCTATCAATTTGTTTCTGTAGAATACTGTTTTCGTTAAAACTGTTTTCGATGAGTCTATATATTACTATATCGTCAACTGTCACGGTCTGCCCTGGATGTGTGGAGATGATATTCTTCAATATATTCTGCTCGACTGTCTACACTGTAATGAAACAAATGACTTGATTCTCAAGTTTGATGAAACCGTTACTAATGACACGTTCGTAACCATGACAACTGACAATGCGTGCAAGGTGCGCGGTCCGTGTGGTTCAAAGTGATGGTTGTCTAATGTCAGTCAAAATAATAGTCATCCTTTATCCGGCGGCACAGACACAGGGCAAACGTCATCCCTAGGACCTGAAAGATCAAGAATGAGGAATGTCATGCGGAAAACGGCAATGTATTTGTTTTATATGATGTGTCGGTGATTACCTCTGTTCAGGAGATATTCTAGCTGTTATGTAATATATTCTAGCTGTTATGTGAGGCAAATCGTGCTCACTTCGCATTTACTACTACTACTATTACTCCTGCTGCTGCTACTACTACTGCTATTACTACTTCTACTACTATTACTACTACTACTACTGCTACTACTACTACTACTACTGCTATTACTACTTCTACTACTATTACTACTACTATTACTCCTACTGCTGCTACTACTACTGCTATTACTACTTCTACTACTACTATTACTACTACTACTACTTCTACTAGTATTACTACTACTACTACTACTGCTGCTACCACTACTACTGCTATTACTACTTCTACTACTATTACTACTACTGCTACTACTACTACTTCTGCTACTGCTGCTATTACTACTTCTACTACTATTACTACTACTGCTACTACTTCTACTACTACTTCTATTACTACTTCTATTATGACTTGCTTGACACATGTCATCGTATCCCAATGACGTAGAGTGAGTGAGTTTAGTTTTACGCCGCACTCAACAATATTCCAGCTATATGGCGGCGGTCTGTAAATAATCGAGTCTGGACCAGACAATCCAGTGATCAACAGCATGAACATCGATCTGCGCAATTGGGAACCGATGACATGTGTCATCCAAGTCAGCGAGCCTGACCATCCGATCCCGTTAGTCGCCTCTTACGACAAGCCTTTTGTGGTAAGCATATGGGTTGCTGAAGACCTATTCTACACCAGATCTTCACAGGTCCAAATGACGTAGATCGATGTTTATGATGTTGATCATTTGGTTGTCTGGTCCAGACTCGATTATTGACAGACCGCCGCTATACTACTACTACTACTACTACTACTACTACTACTACTACTACTTACTACTACTACTACTATTGTTGTTGCTGCCACTACTTGGTCACGTATATAGCTCAATCTCCACACTGAGTATAGTATAAGTGCACGACATTGATATTGCTCCCATTACCCTTACCATCAACGCGGCAACACCTACGCCGACCCCACCAAGTATCCGGGCGTTACTAGCGAGGAAAGCAAAAAACTTCGTGTAGCAACCCTGAAACAAAATTCGAAAATTAACGACATCAGTCAAAAGATAATGACCAATTAAGCACAAAATCCAACAGTACAAGTTAATGTCTTGAGTTATCAAATAAATCTATGTATTGTGGCGTGGTCCAGTGTTAACGAAGTGCAGTAGGGATTAACCGTTTAAACGTCAGGCTGAAGACCCGGGTTCGATTGCCCACCTGGGTACAATGTGGGGAGCTCATTTCTGGTGATATTGCTGGAATATTGCTAAACACGGCTTAAACCCATACTTACTCATACACATAGTCTGTCTCACAGCCCCTTATCCGTATAATTTTTCCTACAGCCTAGCCCGCCCTACAATGCTAAAGCCCCAAATGAAGCAAGTCTAGATTTCCCCAGGTTCTGAATCTCGAGACTCTCTGGGGCTCTTTTTCAATTTAAATGGATCTATTTGTTACAATCAAAATTATATATATTCAGAGACTAAGCGTTAGTCTATCACACGCTCAGAGTTAACGAATTAAGTCATTATCAAGTTTCATGTTTGTCATACCTCTGTAAACATCTGGTCGTTGAAGTTAATGTCCACAACGGGAGGCCCGACTGCTGGTGACAGCTTGGGGTAGTCCAGTCCTGTACATTTTGTCAGGTTCTCAGACATCTGTGTTTGACAGCAACTGTCGGGGATGTACCTTCTGATACCTGTGACAATAAACAAACATGTAACAGAGAACACGAGTCTCTCACACATCTGTGTTTGACAGCAACTGTCGGGGATGTACCTTCTGATACCTGTGACAATAAACAAACATGTAACAGAGAACACGAGTCTCTCACACATCTGTGTTTTGACATCAACTGTCGGGGATGTACCTTCTGATACCTGCAAACATGTAACAGAGAACACGGTCTCTCACACATCTGTGTTTGACAGCAACTGTCGGGGATATACCTTCTGATACCTGTGACAATAAACAAACATGTAACAGAGAACACGAGTCTCTCACACATCTGTGTTTGACAGCAACTGTCGGGGATGTACCTTCTGATACCTGTGACAATAAACAAACATGTAACAGAGAACACGAGTCTCTCACACATCATCAACTGTCGTGTTTCTGATACAGCAACATGTAACAGAGAACACGAGTGTCGGTCGGGGATGTACCTTCTGATACCTGTGACAATAAACAAACATGTAACAGAGAACACGAGTCTCTCACACATCTGTGTTTGACAGCAACTGTCGGGGATGTACCTTCTGATACCTGTGACAATAAACAAACATGTAACAGAGGACACGAGTCTCTCACACATCTGTGTTGACAACACTTGTCAATGTGCCCCGTATGTCTATAGCATTTATGTATAACATACAAAGATGAATTATATATTTTGACAAGATATCCACCCACTGACCGGTCTAGAATCTGACCAGAAGCCGCCCCTTTCCCCGCCAATGTCTGCCGTTATCAATCCAGCTAATGCCCTCCCGCACCCCACGCCGTGTCTACCGACTGTATATTCCAGATGTACCCTATATCATAAGTAATACACGCGTCAGGTAGATTATTTCCCGGCGTCAACAACCCATTCAGAGTTAACTTCTCTTGGACCCTATTGCAATCTTTAGCCTGAATACAACTGTTACATTCCAATATTCTGTAATGTCTCCTGTAATAGTTTACTGATACTTTCTGTCTGTAATGACTGGGAGGTTATCTTTCATTTCAGTCTTGTGATGAGCTTGTGACAGAAGAAGTGTACCTGGCTTGCCGTGGCCCACGATGGTCTTCTGTCTGACACACTTGAACACCTCGAGACAGCTTGCAGCAACCTGGGCTATCTCGGGACCAAATCTGAAAGACTAAACACATACATTCACTTAGTTGGACTAAACATTAGTTCAAGGTGGAATATGTGTTACAGCTATCAGCTGATTAACTTGATTAAGGTAGAATGTGTGTGATGCAGTTATCAGCTGATTTACCTGAGTAAGGTAGAATGTGTGTGATGCAGTTATCAGCTTATTTACCCAAGTAAGGTAGAATGTGTTACAGTTATCAACTGATTTACCTGAGTAAGGTAGAATGTGTGTTACAGTTATCAACTGATTTACCTGAGTAAGGTAGAATGTGTGTGTTACAGCTATCAGCTGATTTACCTGAGTAAGGTAGAATGTGTGTGATGCAGTTATCAGCTGATTTACCTGAGTAAGGTAGAATGTGTGTGATGCAGTTATCAGCTGATTTACCTGAGTAAGGTAGAATGTGTGTGATGCAGTGATCTGTTGCATAGCATTGACTGCACCACGGAAGGAGTATATCTGCTGATGCGGATCTCCCACCAGGATCTTGGCCTGTGTTTGATTCATCATGATGCGTATGACGGCTGTAATCATGACAAATGAGGAGAAATATTATTCAAATCTAAATATTGATTTGACAACAATGAAAAACAGAGTTTCTATTATTACTTTATCTCTCAAACAAGCTCCATCTAAATGAGAGAATAACTCTCAAAGCAACATTGAACTGTATTTCTGTTATGACGTATAGACAATATTGAAAATTTTAATATAAATTGTATATTTATATACTTATCCTATCTCATGATTTGCACTTCTCTCTCTTGCTTCGACGTTGAGTAGAACGGATGAGAACTTTTCCTATACGTCCACACAGTGGTGCGACAAGAAGAAAAATAATCACTCTGAGGTAGTCACGTGGGTAGACAGGGGAACATGCTGCACGCTTAGCCGGGGACTAGGGACCTGTCCTATAAGGAGAGCAGTCTGGGGAACACGGGCGTATGGACAAGAGAGGCCTACAGGAAAAGTTCTCATTCGTTCCACTCAGTGTCGAAGCAAGAGAGAGAAGTGCAAATCGTGAGATAGGATAAGTTTAAAAATATGATGGTAACAGAACTGTGGGGGAAAATGTACCTGGTGTCAAATCCTGAGCCTCGTCGATAAGGATCATGTCATACTCAAGGAGTTTGGGTCGATACAGCTGATACATCTTGAGGTACCCGTCATGCGTCATCCCCACCCGAGTGTCATCATAGTCCTTCATCCTCTTCCACAGATACTCAGCATCCTCCACATACCTCTGCAATGTCACCAGTTTCATTACAAGCCAGGCACAGGCACAGGCACAAATGACAGAACTTCTCATATCCTCATTACTAAGTGAGACTTGTGAAAGCCCTGCCACATAAACAGTGACACAATCACAATGAGTTACAATACTCACAGAATTGAAAGGAAACACAAAATCAAAACAAAATCGAACATTTAATCACGAAGTAATATACACCAATGTAAGGAGACCTCATGTTCTGGGTGTACTGGGGCGATGGGCTAGCCTAGTGGTAAAAGTGTTTGCTCGTCACAGGTTCGATTCCCCACATGGGTACAATGTGTGAAGCCCATTTCTGGTGTCCCCCGCTGTGATATTACTGGAATGGCGGTGTATAACCACGCTCAATCACTCTGGATGTACTTCAGTACAACTTGCTGATCTGCTATTTCTGATGCTAACATGCTTGTAGTATTGTTTTAGTCTTTTGAAAATCGTAGACATGTTTGTGTGTGCAATATGCATCCCTTCTACACTTTTGTGTAGTACACTAAAAAAGTTGACAATTCATCGCAATTACAGAAAAGGCTGATTGTAGTTTGAGGTTGGTTGGGGGCACTTATTAGATCTGAGCTCTTAAAGAAAACAGTGAATAGAAGGATGATTTCTAGAACTGAAAGGTGAGAAGACTCACACATTGTTTTGGGTAACTATGGTAACTGCAGAATCCCACTCACCATCTTGGTAGCATGGTCTATAGACACTACACCGCCACTGTCATCTGTCCTCGAGTCAGGAACGTGAGCGCTGGTGATGTTATCATTGTCAGAGCTGCAGAAGTTGTTAATGGTCTCCATTACAAACTTTGCCCTAACAAACAGGTTGTCTCCCTTTCTGGAGGGAAGGATCTGGGATATGTCATACACCTTCAGATTTCTCAACTTCTTCCGTGCAGCATATCTGTCAATAATACATTGAAAAAAAGGTCACTCTCTTCAAAGAATACTTTAATCAAAGAAATGTCACACTGTTCAAAGAATGATATGATGAAAGACATGTCCCTCGGTTCTAAGAATGTTTTCATACATCTCACCTGATGTCCTTCTGGACGTTACAAATTATTCAGAAAGTACACCGGAGCACATATTGAGTTTCTTGGTATCATCATGTGATATCATGTCAGGTTTAGTCAGCTGCTGATGCAATCTGAACAGGGCAGCAGTCTGAGACGTCTTCTGCGTCGGTGTCCATGAGTATGTCTTACTATAGTCCGTTTGGCTCTGAATCGGACCGATGAATTGCAATCTAACTCAAAAACTACTAAACATATAGTACTCAATGAAACACTAATTATAATCAAAACATCAGACCAACTCTGTGATTTTTTTGCAGAATTTATGTCCTAAAAATAGAAAAGTTGTTTAACAAACTATCATTAAATTTGGACACTGTTCACTATTTGTTGCGAGGGAGGGGTGCAAAGAGAGGAACAGCCAGGTGTGCGAGAAAGGATGGAGACAGCACAGCACAAGTTAATGAATCAATGACTTTGTCTGCACTTGTGCTGGCTGTTCTTCCCTTTGCAGTCCTCCCTCGTAACAAATAGTGAACTGTGTAAAAATTTTAATGATAGTGTTGCAGTTCCACATGAATAATTGACTCAGACACAGTATCCTAATGGCTTCTTGTTTTATCCCATTGATGCCTAGCACAAGGCATGGTAAACACAAGGAATCTTTTATTCTCATTTGGTATCCGTGGCTGGGGATGAAACCAAAGAGGTTCTACCCACTAGACCACCGATCCAGGCAAGGCAAGTGAGTGAGTGAGTTTAGTCTTATGCCGCACTCAGCAATATTCCAGCTATATGGCGGCGGTCTGTAAATAATCGAGTCTGAACCAGACAATCCAGTGATCAACAGCATGAGCATCGATCTACCCAAATGGGAACCGATGACATGTGTCAACCAAGTCAGTGAGTCTGACTACCCGATCCCGTTAGTCGCTTCCTACAACAAGAATGGGTTGCTGAAGATCAATATTCTAACCCGGACCTTCACGGGTACCAGGGAAGACAAGCACCAAACAGTACAATTATCATGCTGATAAACAAATACTGTATATCAGGAATTAATGCAAGAGTGAGTGGATTCATTCATATCAGGACATACTGCAATTATTGCCAAGACAGACTCACTGAGGATTCATGCATGATCTACATCAGATAACAATGCTCCACTGAACAATTAACTTACTGGTACTGCTATATTTAATGCAATATTTGGTCTATTACTGGGTATATTGTCAAATCTGGACTCAATTTTGTTCAAAACACTAGATCACAATATATACTCAACATAACTGTATGATATCATCTTTGTTCAACAAAATCTTGTCCAATATCCAAATGATGTGCATTTACAATTGCAGTGATGAACTTAGAGCTATTCATGTGAATTTCTTGACAGATGTTCTGGGTCAAAGCATTTACTGATTTCGTGAAACATGTGGCTCTTGGTCTACACTTATTCTAAAACACACATTAGGCTTTGGGTCAACACTTATTCTAAAACACACATTAGGCTTTGGGTCAACACTTATTCTAAAACACACATTAGGCTTTGGGTCAACACTTATTCTAAAACACACATTAGGCTCTGGGTCAACACTTATACTGATTCCAGGTCTGCACTTGCATTAAGTTTATGAGCTTATGAGTTAAAGTATGGCCACACTCAGCTTCAACATATCGGCAAGAGTCCTACCTGCGTCCTACAGAGGCAAAGGCCAAGGCATGACCTGTTTTACAGGTGACATTGTGAGGGAACGTCTTCATCGCATGTTCCCGAACTGACCTGAAACATCCATCATTACTGGGAATACACAAACGAATAAGTTTTATTAGCAGCGAATATGTCAGAAAACACATACATTCAACACGATAACACTACACACCTTGGTCTTTTTTCCTGTAAACTCTTCAGGCAGAGGAATAAACTTACCATAACATCTTATTTCAATGAAATGTCTATTATTAACAATAATTGCAATCACATACATGTATTACTAAGTTATAAAGTTGCATCAATTAAAGAGATCAGTGCATCTAAGTATCCATGCACATATCCTAAAGGTATTTTGTTTTGCTTTTGTTTTTTGTTAAATGATGCACTCAGCAGTATTCTAGCTATATCGTGGTGGTTCAAGTCTCAACCAGACAATCCAGTGATCAACAGCATGAGCATCGATCTACGTAGCTGGGATATGATGACATGTGTCAACAAAGTCAGCAAAAGTGACCACCCAATCCCGTTAATTGCCTCTTCCGACAAGTATGGGTTGCTGAAGGCCAATTCTAACCCGGATGCATTTGGGTGAAATGTTTTTACTGTTCTTGGGAAGCATAACACAGAATGTTTCCACTATATCTGTTGCTAAGAAGAAGAGAAGCGAGTAGTATGAGTCAGGATAAGGACGATTATGACAATATTGGCATCATTTTTAACAAATCAGTAAATCTCCCTTTGCTGACCAGCGTGTCTGATAGTAAGTATATACTGACTTGTTGTAGACAACGAGAAGGAACTTCTTGTCAGGTCTCAGCTGGGTGAATCGAACAAGAGTTGTTGTCTTGCCAGTACCTTCAACAAAATATCTCCACAGTGAGTAGGTTTAACGAGCACAGTAACACGTAATGAGGGTGTATGTAATAACATTTCTTAGAGGTATCCAAAGAGGTATACACTACAGTGAAACCTGGTCGACTCATAGTCATGGTATAAATGCTGTAAGTTTGTACAAATTGGCAAGAAAAGGTGTCACATCTGAACTGGGGCAATTACTAGTAGAAACATCAGTGATAAGTAAGGTCTAAAACTAGTAATGTTCCCCCACCATAACAATGACTGTTTTGACAAAACCAATAATCCTTGAAGTGTGTCACCCTTCCCATCCCAAGCTGTCAGAGATAACTCTTGACTGTCTGCATATGAGAGAAAGCCTGGAATGTTCACCTGAATGTGTCTTGGTTGTCTTGATACTGTGACTATTCATATTTTAATAACTCCTGTGCTTCATCCCTTTCATTCCATAACTATGAGTTTGCTGGTTTTCTTGGAAAACAGCAGAATTGTGAAACTCAACCAGATCTGCCAAACATGCAGGGGACATAACTCTGTATAGTACAGCTGGATCCAGTTTACTGAAGCTAGATGTCTGAAGTTGTTGCCATACTAACTTACTCTAAACCAAAATTTCTACAGTAAAACAAGAGTAATAAATTAGCAATTTTTTATTTCATAAAATTTGTAATATAGTACACTTCTTAGAATTTTTATAATCCTAAATATTGCGACGATTCTGCCCAAATTGTACTGTATAGCATTTCTGGCTCAAGCCATTAACCCTAACAAACACAACTGTCACAGTCACATATCTGTCAACATAAAGTCCACGAATTGGCATTAACCGTCTCAATTTGTTTACATTAATGTTCACATTGTAATTTGTGCTTCCCTTAGGTAGATCCAGGTTTCCTGTAATGGATGAAAGCACATACCTGCAAAGGCTACAATCTTGACACAGTCACCATTTTGAGGGGAATGCTTGACAATTCTCAGCTGTTCGTGCGTCAGTCGTACTAGTGTGTCCCCTCGGCTGGAAAGTTATTTGCAGCTAAAGTTACGAACATGCAGATACAGGTATATACTCACATGTACACACCTCAGATCATGTCACAAAATTTCATAAATGGACTGGAGAGTCAATCCCAGTTACTTAGGTCATTCAGTAACTTTATCATCTCAATCAACATTAACATTATTGCTTACAATCTCAACCACCATCACATGTGATGTAACATACATTGCAACTTATGATGATTATACCAGCATATATTACCTTGTACTGGTCAAAACCTATTGCTGTGAGTGAGCTTTTAACTAGAAGTAAAATTTAAACAAGGCATACCTATACTTTACGATGGTCTGCTGACCGGTGTTGGCTGATGTCATGGACTCTTGAAGCATGCTGTGGCTGGTCACGGACGTATTCTCATACAGGTACAGGGCATAGAACACTCGATAGTGCATGCTGAAACAGAGCAAGTGCCTTCACAACTGAAGAAGAAAAATAACAATGTAACATTGGCATTAGTTTGAAAGACATTTATGAACTATTACTAAAACCATATGTTGGTATAGCATATGTTTGAAAACTTTCTTCTCTTGACTCACCCAGTCCACACATCACCCCTCACGTTGAATTACTCATCCACTCCACAAATCAACCCCAGCCTTGACTTACTCATCCACTCCACACATCACCCCTCACGTTGACTTACTCACCAACTCAACACATCAACCCCAGCCTTGACTTACTCATCCACTCCACACATCACCCCTCACGTTGACTTACTCACCCACTCCACACATCACCCCTCACGTTGACTTACTCACCCACTCCACACATCACCTCTAGCGTTGACTTACTCACCCACTCCACATATCAACCCTAGCTTGACTAACTCACCCACTCCACACATCAGTCCAGCCTTGACTTACTCACCAACTCCACACATCAACCCTCACGTTGACTTACTCACCCACTCCATACATCACCCCTCACGTTGACTTGCTCACCCACTCCACATATCAACCCCAGCCTTGACTTACTCACCCACTCCACACATCAGTCCAGCCTTGACTTACTCATCCACTCCACACATCACTCCTCATGTTGACTTACTCACCCACTCCACACATCACCCCAACTTTGACTTACTCACCCACTCCACACATCAGTCCAGCCTTGACTTACTCACCCACTCCACACATCACCCCTAGCCTTGACTTACTCACTTACACCACACATCAACCCTAGCCTTGACTTACTCATCCACTCCACACATCAGTCCAGCCTTGACTTACTCACCCACTCCACACATCAACCCCAGCCTTGACTTACTCACCCACTCCACACATCAACCCCAGCCTTGACTTACTCATCCACTCCACACATCACCCCTCACGTTGACTTACTCACCCACTCCACACATCACCCCTCATTGACTTACTCACCCACTCCACATATCAACCTAGCTTGACTAACTCACCCACTCCACACATCAGTCCAGCCTTGACTTACTCACCAACTCCACACATCAACCCTCACGTTGACTTACTCACCCACTCCATACATCACCCCTCACCCCAGTTGACTTGCTCACCCACTCCACATATCAACCCCAGCCTTGACTTACTCACTTACTCCACACATCATCCCTCACGTTGACTTACTCACCCACTCAACACATCAACCCCAGCCTTGACTTACTCATCCACTCCACACATCACCCCTCACGTTGACTTACTCACCCACTCTACACATCAGTCCAGCTTTGACTTACTCACCCACTCCATACATCACCCCAGCCTTGACTAACTCACCCACTCCACACATCAGCCCAGGCTTGACTTACTCACTTACTCCACACATCACCCACTCCACACATCAGTCCAGCCTTGACTTACTCACCAACTCCACACATCAACCCTCACGTTGACTTACTCACCCACTCCATACATCACCCCTCACGTTGACTTGCTCACCCACTCCACATATCAACCCCAGCCTTGACTTACTCACCCACTCCACACATCAGTCCAGCCTTGACTTACTCATCCACTCCACACATCACCCCTCATGTTGACTTACTCACCCACTCCACACATCACCCCAACTTTGACTTACTCACCCACTCCACACATCAGTCCAGCCTTGACTTACTCACCCACTCCACACATCAGTCCAGCCTTGACTCACTCACCCACTCCACACATCACCCCCAGCCTTGACTTACTCACTTACACCACACATCAACCCCAGCCTTGACTTACTCATCCACTCCACACATCAGTCCAGCCTTGACTTACTCATCCACTCCACACATCACCCCCAGCCTTGACTTACTCACTTACTCCACACATCACCCCTCACGTTGACTTACTCACCCACTCCACACATCAACCCCAGCCTTGACTTACTCACCCACTCCACACATCAACCCCAGCCTTGACTTACTCATCCACTCCACACATCACCCCTCACGTTGACTTACTCACCCACTCCACACATCACCCCAGCTTTGACTTACTCACCCACTCCACACATCAGTCCAGCCTTGACTCACTCATCCACTCCACACATCACCCCCAGCCTTGACTTACTCACTTACTCCACACATCATCCCTCACGTTGACTTACTCACCCACTCAACACATCAACCCCAGCCTTGACTTACTCATCCACTCCACACATCACCCCTCACGTTGACTTACTCACCCACTCTACACATCAGTCCAGCTTTGACTTACTCACCTACTCCATACATCACCCCAGCCTTGGCTAACTCACCCACTCCACACATCAGCCCAGGCTTGACTTACTCACCCACTCCACACATCACCCCAGCCTTGACTAACTCACCCACTCCACACATCAGCCCAGCCTTGACTAACTCACCCACTCCACACATCAGCCCAGGATTGACTTACTCACCCACTCCACACATCAGCCCCAGCCTTCAGCCGGAAAGTATATAGGAAGGTTGCAATACAGTATAGACACTCCAGGACCTCCATGGACGTACACTGAGAGAGGCTGACTGTCAGTGCCTCTATGATAGCCTGTATGTCAGCTAGACTGTCTGAGATAACAACCAACGCAGTAACCACACACCAGGGGTTGGCTTCCTGTAACAGACAAATATTTTACATACAAGGGGTCAATAAAACAATGTTGAATTAGGAACAATGCTGCATCGTGAACAATGAAGTTCCTGAAAGGCATTTCAAAGTTTTATGGAAAACAACATCTATTTATTCCTTATCACGACGTTTCAGAGCTAATTCTTATGTTGTGCACCCACTCACCCCTCTTGGCTTGGTCATGATATTGTTATCTTTGTACATTCTCCCACCTTGTGTTGTGTAAACCTGTTGTACAATATCTATTAACTCTGTGCACTGACTCAGCATTCAGTGATTCACCTGATTAAGCAAATACTAGCTCTGAAATGTTGTGATAAAGAATAAAAAGAAGTTGTTATACATAAAACGTGTAATGTATTCACCATGACCAATGTTGAATCATGTACAAGGGGATGATGTTGGGGGATGATATATTACACAACAAGAAGATGCTTACCTCACGTTCGATACATTCAGGAATTCTTTCCCTGATCAGAGCAGTGGCCCAACCATATTTGGGATGTGCCTTGAGGCACTTGGTCATATTGCTGGCTGTCACAGGCTTGAAGTCCTTCATGTGCCTGAAGAGCCAGCATCACAAATTTGATGAGTGTATTGCAACCAAACCTAACATAAGACCATGGATGAGTCAAGTGCCACTTAATTAACAAAATCACTCACATATGAGATCGGTCATAATGTCTTTGTTTCAACCAATCAAGCACTGTTCGTAATTGTATTGTAAGTAATATTTAAATAAATTACTGATTACATACATTATTCTTTATTGATGTTGATGTGGTTCCAGTGTTGAAGAATACTTCATAGCGTCTTGAATCATAAGAAGTTAAGAACACAATAGCTCAGATATTTCTTATCTTATCAATACCAACCGTATCAATCCTTTAAGATACATTGAAGGCAGAGACATTCCAGCACTGGCCATTATCCCTTTGATTTCAGCCAGAGTATTTCCATAGCCTTTCTTCAGCATGTGGTATTTCTTCTTCCATGGCACAAACTACAAATATATGTGTTAGGGTTGATAAATATAATGTTTATTCCTAATACAGGACATTTACCATAAAAAACACACAACCATGACAACCTCTACATATTAAATGCATATGAACATGATCAACTGAGATCATAGTAGCCATGGTAATACAGCTTTGTTCAAATTGTCCTGATTGCTCAAGCAAGCTCAAAGTTAGACATTAAACAAACATAATACACTAAATATGATATTGCTAAAAGATATGACAGATTCCTCAACCTTGTTGACTATGACTGGTAAGGATTTGTAAAAAATACTTATTATGTTAATTATTCTGATTATATGTTCTTAATCTGAATTACTAGTTTAGTGACAGTTATTGAATGTAATGAAGACAGTTATATCTGTGCCTTTGCTCAATAACATATTCAAACTCACCATGATATTTCAGTAATCATTATCTTGATCAACTGATGAAAATGTGATAAAACACAGAAAAGATGAGACTGTTTATAAAATAGGTTTACTCATTTCACTAATTCTAAAGGGTTTAATGCAAACAGGTTTAACTGGGTGCCATTGTATAACACAATCCTGACACGAGGATTACTGTAACCATCCTAGTTCATACATTAACATAGATTTACAACAGTCTTAGATTTACAACAGTCTTAGATTTACAACAGTCTTAGCACTATGGTTGTTTTGTACAACAGCACCAAGGTCTTTTTTCCAACAAATTACCATGATTACCATGATAACTTGTACCATGTTTACTCGTTCATTATGAAGCTGTTTCTGGAATACTATAAAATAAGATATTAACTTTATCCTTACCACCTACAGTATTGTTCATAAAAATTAAATGCTGCAACTAAGTGCAAGGAACATCAAGTTTGGTTAGCACCAAGTCACATACCTTTCTATCTGAAATAATGTCATTCCACTGTTGGCACACTCTGTTGCTGTTCAGGCACAAATCAAGAATTGGGAGTTGGCAGAATATGTGTTCTATCAAATCAATGGGCAGAACTTCAAAATAGTTTGTTTTATTTTGCAAATTTACATCTGCAAATGCTGATCCAGAACCCTCTCCAAGCAGCCCATATGTTTGCTTGTATATTGTCTCTGTTGTTTGCCTACTATCTTTGCTACTAAAAGTTGAGAATGATGTGTTTGGTTTGGCATTTGTCAAACACACTGATACGGTGGACTGAGGAGTACGACTCGTATCCGTTCTTCTTTTCTTTGGTAATGGCTGTCCTGCTGCCAGAGCTTTTTGACCATCAAATAGTTTTTTCACAAAAGTATTCTCCTGAAACTTATGTTTTGTAGATTGTCCATAATTATCTGACTGTGATGACTGTGGACTGCTGCTGTCATCATTGATGTAGATGGCACCTGACATCTGTTTGATTGGAGAATACATCTTTGATGGGCTTCTGTATGTTAACGGAACAAACTCTTCATTCTCCTCCTCAATATTGTTACGTGTCTCCATCTTAATCTTTACTGGTGACGTTGAGTGAACTTTTGTTTTGGTGAAGAAGCTTGAAATATTCTTCTGATTTGGTCCTGCACTGTCCTTTGCGCGTTGCAATTTACTGTTTCTCCTTTTGTATATACTGTTCACAGCTCCTTTTGATGACTGAAAGCCCCCTGTCTCCAACTGGGATGCTGTTAGTCCAAGTAAACTAGATGCTGCTGTAAAGTTACTGCTAGGTTGACTAGACGAGTGTAAGCCTTGACGTGTTTCCTGGTCTCTTATTACTTCAGTCTTGACTGGCTGACTGGATATTAAACTGGAAGCCTTTGAAAATCCTGATTGCTGATGTGAAGATCCTAAAGATGATATGACAGAATGTTCAAAGCTACTTTCGACAAACGGGCCTTTCTTGACAGGAGAGTGTGCTGTCGATTCATTAACATTTTCGTTTGGAAAACTGCAACCATCTACTTCTACATGTTCAATATCAGATTTGATATTTTTAATGTCATTTGGATGGCAGACACTTTTTGATTTCTTCCTAAATCTAGGTTGTAGGCCTCTATTTGGATCTTTATTACTTTTTGGAATTTCGAATGGTTTGGACAGAGCTTTTGACGATTGTGTCAGCGAAAGACAGTCTGCAGTAGACAGGTGGATTTTTCTTTTTCGCGTATTTAGGGACAGAGCCCCTACGCTGGCGCTACGACTATTTTCATCTGTCGCCAGAACTTCAAGAGACTGATGATATCCGGAAAGACAGTCGACGTGTTTTCTACTTTCTGTTTCATTTGGCCTTGGGCAAGATTCCTGGGGTCCTTTCACGACACAACTTTGTTCACTAAAAGTGCAGGTACTGTTCTCTGTCTCCAAGTAAGTTTGACTGAGCCTGTTTTCCTGTGATTCTGTGTCGGTGACTGATCTTGAGCCCTCGATGTTTTCGATGTTATTGCCACTGGACACATTTAAAGTTCTGCTCTTATTTCTTTTCCGAGCCATTTTCAGCCATTTTTACTTAGTGGTAACCCCTACAGCAACTACAAATATAAACATTCATTTTGCTTATAATATTTCTAAAAATATCCTTGGTGATCAATTGACAACATAATTATTGATAACTGCAATATTTTTAAGAGTGACAATTTGTAAACGCCATGTCAGTGGTTGCAACATTTTCTTGTTGGCATGATATATGCGATAAGTAGAACAAGAGAAGATAACTCTAAACAAATGTCTAATATTTACAAAGCAGCACAAACTAACGATGAAAACTTTTTCAAGCTTTATGATGATGCGGACACTTATATGTGTTACAAACATGAAAAATCGGGAGATTCGGTTCTGCACATTGCTTCACGATATGGTCACTTGAACCTGGTTCATTTACTTCTGGAGAAAGGTGGCAACCCTGAAATTGTTAATTTGGACGGCAAAAGACCACTTCACGAAGCCGCCCAAAATGGACAAATTGATATTGTCAAATATTTGTTAGATTATGGCGCAACTGTTGATTGTCTTAAAAGAGCTGATTGGTAAGCGGAAACATCAGTAGTGGTTCTTTTCTAAGGTCTGTTGGTTCTCTGTTGGAACGATGCCGGCTATAAGTTTGACTCATCTGGGTCCTAGTATTGTGGCAGAAACAGATTTTGTATATTTTAACATGTTGTAAATTGATTAGAATTCATGTAAATAAATGCTTTAAATTTCATTGCACAGCTTTAGTCATTATATTTTATCATGATACTTAGCCTGCCTTAACTAACTATCACCCACAGCCAGTTCACTGAGCATGCTTACCGCATGTTCACGGGTGCCAGTCAAATCGCCCCAGCTACAAAATGCCCCAGCCAATTTGGTCAAAATGCCCCAGATTTTTGGTCAAATCGCCCCAGGTTTGGTCAAATTGCCCCAGGGGGATAGTCAAAATGCCCCAATGTATTTAAATTGGTTAAATATGTGCCACAACTGCATAGTTTTTGTCATTTTCCATATTATATTCTATATATAATATTATATAGTGATATTTCGGATAAATTTTCTATAAGTAAACTGATAAGACCAAAAGTAATATTCATGTATAGACAACACTGTAATACCAATTATTTGGTAAAGAATTACAAGAGTAAAATGAAAGGTTTGTATAATATGTTTATTGGCTGTAAATAGTTTTTTGTCAAAAAATGGCATTATGTAATCATAACAAGTATGGTATAATATTTATTATTTAAACATATTTATTTCCAAAGAAAGGAACCGGATTGGTAAACAAGCATAAGCTTATATGAATACCGCTCTGGGATACAATAGAAGGAAGAATAAACTCGTCATGATGAATGTACAATGTGCATGATATATAAATGTTGCAAACATGAGAAATAACGCCAATCATTGTTAAACGGTATATGTCAAATAAACAAAATATTTTGGATCAAATCTGCCTGTTAAATTTATAAAAGAGTGCACTGAAATTAAAAGTTCTTTGTTTACTATTGAGGAGCAGCATTGGTTTCCAAACAAAATTGATTTTAGGTCAAATCCTTTAGTATAAAAATACATAATTTGATGTATATTGTTGTAAAGAGTACATGAAAAGAACTAGTGAGCAGAGTCTTCATAATTATGGCCACAAGAGCAATATGATGTCGGAGATATAAATCTTTCATATTTGTGAGCATTAAGGTCACTACATTCAAGTTGGAGACGAGAATGTATGATTAGACAAAATCTGCTACCGAAATTTAAGTCAAAATGACTGTAGATATTAGAATAGTTCAAAATTACATTTTTGAATCTCGATAGGTGATGGTCAATTAGTGAATATGTTTTTATAGCCTGAAATGCTCATACATTCAAGCCTCAACATTTCCTTTAACTAAACACAGCATTGAATGTCAATTAGTGAACATGATTTAAATAGCCTGTTTTTATCCACACTTTTTGACAAGATTAATTGACAAAAGCTCTAGATTGTTTTTATAAGCATTATACCATACTTGCTGACAAAAACTATGCATTTATGGCCAATAAACATTTTATACAACCATTTCATTTTATTCTTGTAATTCTTTACAAAAGCATTAATAACATGCAAATAATTGGTATTATAGTGTTGTTTATACATGAATATTACTTTTGCTCTTATCAGTTTACTTATAGAAAATCTATCAGAAATATTACTATGTAATATTATGCGAAGTATATAATATGGAAGTTGACAAAAACTATGCATTTATGGCATATATTTAATCATTTTAAATACACTGGGGCATTTTGACTACCCCCCTGGGGCGATTTGACCAAACCTGGGGCGATTTGACCAAAAATCTGGGGCATTTTGACCAAACCTGGGGCGATCTTTTGTAGCTGGGGAGATTTGACTGGCACCCATGTTCACCACACAGCACAATAACATAAGCCCTTCCCCACCTACGTTCTTTTGTCTTTATAGCCAGCTTGGGCAATCAGCTAAGCTTTACACTTTTACACATTACAAGGTTTGTGGTCACTCCACATTCAATCGTCAGATGAGCAACATTCCATGTGGATTTTCTTAACATATCTTTGGATCACATTCTAAGGCGAACATTTAATACAGATACAGCAGTGTCCCCAGGTGTGAAATAAACCTAGGCCCACACACCTGGGTTGTTGTTTTCACCTATAAACATCTCCAATAAAACATCAGCCATTGAAGAACAACAAAAGTAGCGTCTGTTGTCTGTGCGTGACTGACGCAGTCCTGCTACAGTATCATGAGTCACCGTGGGTTATTCACTTCTCTGTTGGTTCTCTGTTGACATAAGTACAGTCAACAATGTCAATGTACTCATGTGGTATATAAACAGTCACCATTTATCTGTTGATAACAGTGATCCAATACATAACTGTCATATGCAGTCCAAAAAGTTGTTAAATCTTACCATTGTTACTGATAGATAATAATACACAGAGCAAGATGTGAGTTATGTTAATTGTTATAATGTTTTAGCATTATTTGTCTTAGTGTAGGATATGGTCTGAAATGTCACAAATATTTTTGCATCTTGCTCAGAATGAGCTCTACATAATTTTCAGACCATATCCAGCCTCAAACAAAATCCAAAAATATGTACTAAACTAATGTCAATCTAATATGCACATCCACAGACCCTGGAGGGTCGTTTTTGAGTTTGTGTATGAGTCAAAAGAATTATGAGAGCTTCTTTTTATGCAGTCATGTGCATTTAAAATTACACTCTCAAATCAAATGTGTATATTATAGTGTCTCTTCTTTGTAAAGATGCTCTGCTGCGTACGAATAAAAAGTCATAATAGATGATGACATAAACATAACCATCTGTAGTAAGACAATCAAAAATTGGAGGATGAGCTTCAGTTGAAAACTATTGGAGGGCTTCTGTTCGACTCCTTACTTCACTGTACTTAGTAGAGTAATGACATCACTATATCTACTTTGGTGACACCCTGTTTTATGATATGTACTCTCACTTCAGTCTGCATTCTTTTGTACTATTGTTTTTCATGTGTTTTTAAATCTATTTCTTTTCCATGGAAGGACACCTCTGATGCTGGCATGCACAAAGACAAATCCTGAAGTTATCAGAGCATTGTTGGAAAAGGGAGCTGATCCTGCATTGAGGAACAAGGATGGATGGAACTCCTTTCACATTGCAGCCAGGTACCATGAGTACAGGGCTTTCAAATGACCTTTGTCTGTCACTAGTACCATAGGAAAGGCTTTCAAATGACCTTTGTCTGTCACTAGTACCATAGGAAAGGCTTTCGAATGACCTTTGTCTGTCACTAGTACCATAGGAAAGGCTTTCGAATGACCTTTGTCTGTCACTAGTACCATAGGAAAGGCTTTCAAATGACCTTTGTCTGTCACTAGTACCATAGGAAAGGCATCTTTGTCTGACATTTGTGCCATTATTACAGGGGATATGTGCTTTCATTGAAAAATATATAAAATATGTACTACCACAGTTTGGATTGAACGCTCTGAACACGAAACGTCAAACACCCTAGTTGGAACAGTCCACTGTTTAAATTGCTCTGTTGTCTTAATCATGAGTATATTTGTGCTGTTGGTCATTTATAACCAGTGCTGATTATGCTGTGTATCATTAAAAGGGATTGTTTGAGAGTGAATGAATGTTGTGTCATGTGTGTGTGTCATGTGTTGTATTCTCAAAGGAAGGGAGTGTGGAGATCATATATCTTGTGTTGTATTCACCAGGGAGATCATATATCTTGGGTGTGTGGAGATGATATATCTTGTGTTATATTCTCCAGGGAAGGGAGTGTGGAGATCATATATCTTGTGTTGTAATTTGTATTCACCAGGGAAGGGCGTGTGGAGATCATATATCCTGTGTTGTATTCACCAGGGAAGGGAGTGTGGAGATGATATATCATGTGTTGTATTCTCCTGGCAAGGGAATGTAAAGATGGTATTTGCTGTGTTGTATTCTCCAGGGAAGGGAGTGTGGAGGTGATATATCATGTGTTGTATTCACCAGGGAAGGGAGTGTGGAGATTCTTCAACTATTGCTTCACCATGATGCTCAGCTGTGGAACACTGTGAGCAAGAACGGAAGAACACCTCTTCACACAGCAGGTATACATACAATGCTATTTAGAGAGATTATTATTTAAAACTTTGCCTTGTTTCCCAGTGTTTCAATCTCCCTCTGGTTACTGTGAAATTGTGTGTTCCAGCACTCAATGGCTGTACCGATGCTGTTCGGTTCCTTGTTGAGTCATGTGACTACCCATGTGACATGGTTGACAGCTGCGGTACAACACCGTTGATGGATGCACTGAGAGCAGGACATGTTGACACAGCACAAATTCTGCTAAACTTACACAAGGTAGGTCACAGTGACCCACAGACTATCAGATCGGGTGGTCACAGTGATACCCACAGACTATCAGATCGGGTGGTCACAGTGACTATCAGATCGGGTGTCACAGGTCTATCAGATCAGTGATACCCACAGACTATCAGATCGGGTGGTCACAGTGATACCCACAGACTATCAGATCTATCAGATACCCACCATTGGTCACAGTGATACCCACAGACTATCAGATCGGGTGGTCACAGTGATACCCACAGACTATCAGATCGGGTGGTCACAGTGATACCCACAGACTATCAGATCGGGTGGTCACAGTGATACCCACAGACTATCAGATCGGGTGGTCACAGTGATACCCACAGACTATCAGATCGGTGGTCACAGTGGTCACAGATCGGGTGGTCATATACCCACAGACTATCAGATCGGGTGGTCACAGTGATACCCACAGACTATCAGATCGGTCACAGTGATCCGATCGGGTGGTCACAGTGATACCCACAGACTATCAGATCGGGTGGTCACAGTGATACCCACAGACTATCAGATCGGGTGGTCACAGTGATACCCACAGACTATCAGATCGGGTGGTCACAGTGATACCCACAGACTATCAGATCGGGTGGTCACAGTGATACCCACAGACTATCAGATCGGGTGGTCACAGTGATACCCACAGACTATCAGATCAGACTATCAGATCGGTGGTCACAGTGATACCCACAGACTATCAGATCGGGTGGTCACAGTGATACCCACAGACTATCAGATCGGATCGGGTGGTCGGGTGGTCACAGTGATACCCACAGACTATCAGATCGGGTGGTCACAGTGATACCCACAGACTATCAGATCGGGTGGTCACAGTGATACCCACAGACTATCAGATCGGGTGGTCACAGTGATACCCACAGACAATCAGATCGGGTTGTCAGGCTAATTGTTGTGTTGATGCATGTCATCGTATCCTAATTGCCTTGGTCAATGCTTATGATGACAATCACTCGATTGTCTGGTCCAGACTTGATTGTTTCCTGACTGTTGTCATGTAGCTGGAATATCAAACAGTACCCATGCAAAGTTGCATCCCATAACTAAATGATTTCAGTTGTTCCAGATGTTGACAGTGTAATGGTGGAAACATGTTTGAACTTTTAGGAGAAAAGAAATGCATTCGTATTATCTACAGCTAAGTAGTGTTGACTATCGGTACAGATCATGGAGATTGATAATTGTTAACTAAATATCGATCGATTATCTATAAATATCTGCGATATAACTTTGAGCAAAATGTAATAAATGTCAGTAAGAAATGAATATATTTCACATGACTGGTGAGAGTTGACATGTTTTTGCATGGATTATTAACAAAACAGCATCCAGAAGCAGACCATAAATAAAATCCGAACTTTGTATATTGTGTGTGAAAATTTGAACTTAAACTTTTTTCTATCACAAAAGTAAATGTATAATATTATCAAAAACTCAATTTCATATCAATAATCATAAATAATGTTTTCATCGGTGATATTCCAGTTATCTAATTATCTTAGCCAGACGTACATCTAAGTAAATCAGGTAGAGTGTTAAACTTGTGGGTGTTAGAAAACAGAAATAGTGATGACTTTGTCATACTTTGAGAGTTGATGTTATTGTGTGTGGGACAAGGTTGAATCTGTGCAATGGTGTATGTATTGTTCCTGATATTCTGTGGTGTATGTGAAGCTGTTGCTGCTGCAGGCTGATGTGGCGAAAGAGGACAAGCTGGGCCGTCAACTCGTGCACCTGGTGTCGGAGGCAGGGCAGCTGGAGGCCCTTGACTTTCTTCTGGACACCTTTCACATGTCTGTAGACACCAGGACATCCACAACTCAGTGTACTCCCCTGCATGTGGCCGCCAAGGTGGGTTGTCATCACTTCCACTGACCTTTTTGATAAAAGTGGATGACTCTCGTGGATAGTTTTGCCAGGTATATTGCTATGTTTGTGTTAGTGAACATATGTTTTGGTTAGTATGAGGCGGGGCGGTGGGGTAGCCCAGTGGTTAAAGCGTTGGCTTGTCACGCCGAAGACCCGGGTTCGAATCCCCACAAGGGTACAATGTGTGAAGCCCATTTCTGGTGTTCCCTGCCGTGATGTTGCTGGAATATTGCTAAAAGCGGCGTAAATCCAAACTCAGTCAGTCAGTAGTATGAGGCAAGAGACTTTTCGTGTGGTGTAGCTCAGTTTTACCTCATGGTATCCATATGTCCCTTGTAGCTGCTGCTTGTAGGCCAGGACACTACAATATGTAACCTGGCTGATTCTGAGCCACATGATTAGTCATTTTTCAACTATTATCCACCGACCAATCAAATATGAAAAGTTGTTTCTGCCTTCTTGTGTGTTTATAATTACCTGTGCCTACTTGTGTCTCATCTCAAGAGTCTGTAGTTTTGATTTTTTGTGATAGTAAACATTTTTCCTTATCCTGACTCATGCTAATTATGCTTGTCTCCTTCCTCTTGCGAATGATAGTGGAACACTTGAAATCCCTTGAAGTTCCCTTTAAAAAAGCAGACGTAAAATCACTCACCCAAGAGTAGTGTCCCTTTGCTCCCTTTGGTGCCCAAATGGTCACATGATCAGCCATATTTGTCGCTCTCTCCTTCTTCGCCCTTGAAGACGGTTGTGAGAGCACCTGGCTCCCTATACGGCACATATCCTTTTATATTTTCGGACCTTACATCAAAATTATTGCTGTATACGTTTTTTAGGATTATATTCAACATTACGATTTGAAATTTGTTCTAAAATTTTCTTCATGTTTACAATTGATGAAAACGTGTATTCATTGTAGGTACCGAGTGTCTGTGGCTGACCCGCATTTATTATGTCCTAATTGCACTGTTTCATGTTCTTCCAGCTCTCGCTGTGTGTATTATGTAAATTTAAATTCTGTTGAATTTACTAATTACCTTTTTTCCATCCATAGACGTTCTAGGGACTGGGTACGTAGGTATTCACAAGTCATGTCTAAATCGAGTGATTGCGCTGATAACCTTGTGTTAACCACTGTTGCAGATATTCATAATTCCAGTGAATTACTGAACGTTTCTCAGGAGCAGGTCGATGTACCAGAGGTGAACGCCAGAGGCCATAAGAGATCATCGTCTACTGAGCTGACCTCATCGCAGATGAAAAAGGCCAAATCTTCAGCTTCGCAGAAGAAGAAGGCTACTACTATGAAGACTTCAGCGAAGTCTAAGATCAGCTCTACTCAGAAGACGAGGTCTTTCTCAGCCGAGATTGTTCCTCCGGAAGAAGCAGATGCTTATGATGATCCACCCATCCTCATACCTGAAGTCACCATCTTCAGTAAGAAGATGAAGCCTGCTTCTACAGCTACATCGACATTGGTATCAGTGCAGACATTGACAGAAGACCTACTATCAACCCAGACATCGGGTACCAGAGATAGCAGCAGCGTCAACTCTTCACGAGGGCAGCGAACCTTAGATGACGTCTCTTCAGTATCAGATGCATCATCCCTGCAGCAGTCTCTTCAGACAACACAGAACTTCAACCCGGGACTGTTCATGCAACGGTTTACAGACCAGATGATGTCGATGATGGAACGTTGCTTCGCTCAAGAGAAGGCTGCTTTGAAGATCACTACAACGTCTACTAGCCTGCGTGAAAGGTCTACAGTCTCCCCACCACATCTAAATGAAGAGGGAAGCCTGCACGAAGGCTCTCGGACACGACGATCTTCCCCATCTGAAGAAGACGCCCCAGAGAGTGTCGCTAAGAAGTCTCCACGCAGGAAGGAATCTAGACGTTCTCCCGAACCCTACAAACGTCGAAGATATGAGTCGTCATCTCCCATCTCCCATCCAGACACCCATCTAGAGCCTGCGCGAAGACACTCCTACAGAGGGGAAACTACGTCCAGGAATCGCAAAGATCTAGAGAAATACCTCAAATCTCCAGGAAAGATTCAAGATCACATCGGGATCGTTCGCCTGCGCGAAGCTCATCTTATAGATCATTCTATAGAGACTCAAGTAGTCATGCATCCTTGGAGCGAGATATGTCCAAATCAGAGGATGAAGGTGAAGGCGTCTTCTCCGATACGGAAATTAACTCCTGGATCGCCAATGGCTTGGACTTATCATCACCTTCTAAGGACACAGATGAGGCGTTTACCTACAAGATGTCCAAGGATGATTTCGACACACTCACCTTTCCACCAACCAACCCGATCTCTCAAGTACCAGACAACCTCAACGCAGCTTTTGATAAAGCCGCCAAGTCGCAGAGTCAGCACATCCCGACATTCAACGCCAGGAAATTCCCTCTACATAGGATGGAACCCTTCCTGAAGGCTCCAGAGGTTGATGATGGCTATAAGATTATCACCGATTCCCGTCAAAGAACTTACAAGATTGAGGATAAGAAGTAAGCGCAGCTGGATACAACCATCAACGAAACTCTCATCTCGAAGTTCAAGAATTCCTCAGCCAAAGAAGCCCGGATGATATATCGGCTTATAGACGGTCATATACGGTACTCCGCTCTACTTATGCAGAAGAGAGACCATCAATTTATGTCAGAGCACCTAGCATCTACCTCAGCGGGTTTGACTCTCCTGAGAAGACAAGGGTTATTGTCAGCATTTCTCATGATTCCAGGGAAGTTATGATGATTAAATCCATCAACACTTTGGCTAACGTGATTTGTCAGACATCAGAGATTCTGGCACTACTACGCTCATTCAAGTTGGAAGACCAACAAAAGAAATTTAAGGCTCCTGCCTGGGATCTCAACGTAGTTTTACAACATCTCACCAGTGATGCCTACGAGCCTCTAGAACGGATATCCTTTGAACTACTAACTCAGAAAACGGGCTGTTCCTGATCGCCCTAGCAACAGCTGCAAGGATGTCTGAAATACATGCTCTGGACTTTGAACGAACACGATTTGAATCAAGACATCGTGACATCGTACATCTGGGACTGTGATGGGATTTTATCGCCAAGAACCAACTGCCTGGTCAGCCTGACAGACAGTTCCACATCCCAGCACTATCTCCAGTCCTTGGGCCACAGGATACGCAGGATCTATCCTTATGCCCAGTCAGAGCACTTAAAGTCGACTTGAGCCTCCACGAGCCTCCAATCCACACGATGTCAGAGCCCTGGGGTCAGCACTTGCTCTGCATGGAAACTGCTCGATTACAACTATAATGGAGGGCTGCTTTTGGAGATCAAACACAGTGTTTACCAACCACTACCTCAGAGACATTGCCACTGAAGACGTCTCAGGCATTCACCAGTTTGGGCCTCTTGTTGTAGCACAACAACTAACGGTTCCACAAAGGCGCTGAGTAAATATCTCACCCCTTTATCACGTGACTTGTGAAAACCAATGCTCTGGAGAGCAATGGCTATAAGTCCATGCACACGTCTAGGACAGACTAGCATGAGTGATAGACCCTGTACTTGTATAGGACATACTCGTACATGAAGAAGGGTCGCATCTCCACTCGATGCGCGCATCAAGAGATGGAAGAAATCTGACAAGTTGTGGTCCCCCCAGACTCATCAGAGAAAAGTTGAAAGAATCTTCAACAGTGCCGTCATAAGTTCCCAAGGGGGGTAATACAGGACTTAAATCTACAACCAGTGAATCCAGAACGTGGCTTGACCCACCACCGTTTCCGACGGATTCTGCAAGACATAATTAGCATGAGTAAGGATAAGGAAAAATATGTAATTTTCTGACTAAAATTGATATTTTATACTTATCCTGACTCATGAGGATAGCCCTCCCAACCTCCCCTCTTATGGCTCTCTGGACAAATATGGCCGATCATGTGACCATTTGGGCGCCAAAGGGAGCAAAGGGACGCTACTCTTGGATGAGTGATTTTACGTCCGCTTTTTTAAAGGGAACTTCAAGGGATTTCAAGTGTTCCACTATCTTTCGCAAGAGGAAGGAGACAAGCATAATTAGCATGAGTCAGGATAAGTATAAAATATCAATTTTAGTCAGAAAATTACATTTTTCTTGTCCAAAAAACAATATGTATGGATTTGGTTTCTGAAAACATCGAAATATGTCAGTCTAAGTAAACTTAGGTATTATTCATTACACTGCTATAAGTACTGAGTCTAACAAAACCTAGTAGAAGGTCGCGTCAGCTAACCTTTTGGACTGACCAATCAAGAACGTTCACATTCGCACATACCGTTTGAACCTTTACTTAAAAAACTCTGAATGCTATTTTCCGCACGAACGCTTCCGAGTGATACACATGGAAGACACAATGAGTAAACAATCACAGAAAATATCATTTTGTCAATATTCAAGGATGTCATCTTGTGGTAATAGTAACCAATAGTAATAGTTTGTTGATAGATCAGTGTCAGCAAGGATGTATATACCTCTTTGGTGTCAGCGACCTGGGAAGAGAAAATCCCCAAACCGTTTTGTATGTCCTGCCGAACCCTAAATTGTAGGCGTTTTCTCATTGGTTAAATCCGTTTGGCCTCCCCCATTTGATTGGACAGTCATAGGTCAATCAAAGGTTAGCTGACGTGACCTTCTGCTAGGATTTGTTAGACTCAGTATAGCAGTGTAATGGATAACACTGAGCCCAAGTTAACTTAGACTGCGAAATATGTAAAACTTTGAATAATGTTAGTTGCCAGCTTTGTCCATACCAACATTGTACCTCGATTCCTTTGTTTGTAGGAGGGTCAGGATGCTATCATGCAATGCCTGTTGAGACGTGGTGCCAATGTCCATCTCTTGGATACATCGCTGAGATCTGGTTAGAGGCATTCTTCTTCTTGCATCATGTTCATCTTGAACATCCTGTGATGCACCTCATGCTTGAATCTCTGATGTCACTGTCCCTTAAATCTCATGCTTGAATGCAGAACACATAATATCATATCCCCGGAGTGATACTCCTTCAGCGTATGTGAGGCTCAGAGTGTATTAGTCCACCCTTCATGTTTGTAAATACAGTGTTAATGCATTTACTTCTTGTCCACAGCTCTACACATTGCCAGTGGCGGGCAGCATGCAGGGTGTGTGGAGCTTCTGCTACAACATGGTGCTGGTGCCAGCCAGGACAAGCATGGACAGACAGCCAGGCAAATGGCCAAGAAAGATGATGTAAAACAAGTATTCAAGAAATATCTGGATCATGTCACTTGAAATATCTGCAAAAAGATTTAATATTTTTGGGTTGTTTTCACGATATTATTCACACTCTGGGTCACAGTTCATTACACTTTGGACATTCCTAGGCTTATTTTACAAAGTGATCTTAACACAACTACACCTATTATATCAATGTTCAGTCACAGGAGATACACCCTTCATAATCCCGTGATTATACTGATACCGAACTGACCATCGCCAGGCAGGATAACAACAAACCTCTTTATCATCTTTGGGTATACTGAGGCCAAACTGTGATCTTCTGGTCGAGAACAGATGCTGTATATGCTGGACCAAGTAGACAATCTGGTGGACAGTCGTGGTGTCATAAGCTGTGGACTGTTTACAGGCGGCTGTCATATACCTGCAGGAGTGCCTGCTGAGGAGTTATGTAACACTCACTCACACACTTTTATATGATTCAGCTAAGTTATTTGTTTTTGTACCTCTTGACAGATGACACTCTGACACAATCATTATCCCATCCCCTTATCCTGTCATGACTTCTCACATTCACAGGGGGCAGCCTAGTGGTTAAGGCGCTCACTCGTCACACTGTATACCCAGGTTCGATTCCCCATATGGGAACAATGTGTGAAGCCCATTTTTGGTGTCCCCCGCCATGATATTGCTGGAATATTGCTATGTGTGTAAGCATTCATGCCAGGGATAGCCAGGGTTTCTCACAGGAGTGTAGTCACTGTTACATTTTAAAAGTAATAACATTTTGACATTTATATGCTTACGGAAAAGCCATATAAAAAGTTAAAATTCAACTGTTTGAGAGGCATTCAACAAGTTGTACCCTTTTGAAAACCAAAACGTCGCAATAAAGAAGTTGATCATCCACAAAGACTTGTCTGTCCTGTTGTGAAAAATCAGACTGAAAAAATATTCAGAGGAGGTATTTATGTTTTGAAACATCTGAGCAACAACAATCGAGTATTTCACAATTACATGCCAGAATATTCAGTTATGTCACACATCGCTGATCCGATGTCTGGTTTAGAAACAATAGTTTTCTGAAACAATGACCAGAGACTTGTTCACCAAAGATTATTTCTACTTCTATGACAAAAGTTGTGGAAATTGGACGTTGATGGAGGTGTTATGCATGGCCTACCATTAGGTAAGGTAGTCAGTGATAACACCAATGAAGACAACAAATGACATTCGTGAATGCTCAAGCTTTAAGCTCACTTTGATTGTTCCGATTCTTTGCAGAAAATATGTTTGGATCAGTTCAACCAACCTTGAACCCATTATTTTCTCTGTAATTAGGCACAAACAATTTCTTTGGAACTGCCACGTAGTATATTTTTTTTTAAAAACCATCCAGGATGTTCTTTTGATGTGTAGATTATACAAAATTTCAGAACCTTATGACCTAATAAAATGTTGAAGGGCATGGCCATCGAAGTTTGCTGTGCAGAATTACGTGTGTTTACCAGGATACTCTGGTGAGGTTTCACAACACCAAAACCCCCCTTCATCGTCTCAAGCTTACCTTCCACACAGAGCTGACACTCATGAAACAGAACTAATGCTCAAGTCAACATTAATTCAATGTCATTCTATTGACATGCTCATCAACTGCCATGTCAGGCTTTCCGGTGGTGTGGAGCTGGACGTAAAGGTCTCAAATGATACCTGTCTCTCTATCTCTGACTGTAAAATACTACCATTGACGATCACAGACAATCGTTTAGGAGTAGTGTGCTCCGAGATAGTGAAAACAGCCCGGACAACAGTGAATGGAAACAAAATGGAAACAGACGAGTTGGCGCAGCTCCATAGAATGAGCTTCCGGTAAACCATCAAGACCATCCTTTCAAAAAGCAGGATCAGAGAGTTTTATGGTAAGATGCGCAGTGTGAAATATGTTATAACAAATATCTGTGAAAGATATATTTGTATGTGATCATCATGTGTTGTATCAAACACTCTCCCTGACATGTTGCATCCTTGGGTTCAAAAGGTTCCCAGTGCAGTCTGTACGAGACGATCTAATTGTTTGGGTGTCCAAGTTCAGTGACAATTTGTGTGCTGAATTGTCTGGTCCAGACTCAGCTATGTATAGGTTGCCACCCCATAACTGCAATGCATTTGACAACACGGGGACGCCGTAGAGTTTACTTGCCATGGTAGTACATATATAATATATAATTGCACACTGCCATTTCAGGCAACAGCTATCACGTTGATTAATTGTACTACATAATACCGTCTGAAATAGTATACACAAACACAGATAAGGTTTGAAAACCATGGAACATATTTACATGGAGACTGAGCCCAATGTCTGCGTGGAGCCAGTTTTCAGTCTAAGTTAAGACACTGTAATAAGCGCTATTCTTGAACCTTGACACAAGTTACGCATAATACCGAGCACCGAATGCTTGGGCTGTCAATTTGGCCTAGTTCTCCAATTTTGAAAGTATGGACCTTGACGAATGTGTTGCTGACACATTACAAACAGTTTATCTTTATATACACTGGATATTTGACCTGTGGACGAGACGTTATCAATTTGCCATTTCCGATGTTATAATTCTTACAATCTTCATTTCAGTCTATACAACCATTATTGCTAAAAAACATGAAACACGCAAGAACCCGGATGTTGCTGTTTGTTCATCTGGTATAAAACGTAGCCGCCATCTGATGAACACCGAGTTTCGTAGCCCCTTGATCAGATCCTTGATTATGTCCGGCAAATTTCACGTAAATCATTTGGGAACCCCAGGTCGATGGCAGATGTACAGTGACAAATGAAAGTAAATTAGCCCCACGGGGCTGTTTTTATTATTAGCCTTTCATATCAGTTGTCCATTTCGTAGTCTTCTACTTCATTCTCGATTGAGTTCTCTAGAATCCAGTCATAATATTTGGACACATGTGTATAGTAGCCATATTGGTTTTCTTGGTCGCATCCGACTCCCCATGAAACGATCCCCACCTGAATCCACCGACCGCCGTATTCCATTACATAGGGGCCGCCACTGTCGCCGTGGCAGGCATCACCGCGCATGCGCCGAGAGTACCCAGCACAGATCATTCCGGGCGTGAAAGAAGTGTTAACACTTTTGGCACTTCTTTCACATACGGGTCGGTTGACATATGGAATGGTAACCTCGCGTAGGAATGTTGGAGACATGCCGTATTCATACAAACTACCACAACCTGTAATCATTCCGACCCTTCCGCCACGAAGTAGTTCGTTCACAAGCAGTTCCCTCTCCAGGCATATTGGCATTACGAAGTCACTGAACTCTACCGGCTGATCTAGTTGGAACAGTGCAACGTCGTTATCAAAGTTATGTCCCTTGAACTCAGGATGCAGTATGTATTGTTTGAGACGACGTTGTATGCCCTGTTTGCCGTCGCAGCGCACGGTGCCGACGTAAATGTCCACGTCTACTCGAGAGAATGGAGTGCCGTAGGATTTCTCGAACTGTTCGACACAGTGGGCAGCGGTCAAGAACCACTGGGTGTTGATCAGTGAACCGCCACAGAAAGCAGCAGTCTGAAATAACAACAGGTCACGCTTAGATGAAATAGACGAAACGATTAGATGACCATTGTGTAATAATAATATAATAATAGTAACACGTACCGATCACTTGCTTGATAACGGCGTTACTACCCACACCGAAACGTCGCACTCATTGCAGTAAAAAAGTTGACTCTCCATGGAACTTGGTTTTCCTAAACTGAAATAGGTTCTGGGGATTCCAGCCCTTGACAAGTCGTTTAAACGCCGCTTCGTAAGTAATGGTTTTTGTGTGTGTATTAGTTAGTGATTACCTTAAATACATATAGCCAGAGTGTCACTTTGTCAGACTACACCACCGACATTGCCTTTGATGTAGTCAGGATATGGCTCTCACACATCCGGGTGGCTGTTGGGCGATATGTTGTGGTACCAGGTACGGTTTTGAGCCCATTAACACATATTCTGAATATTACACATGTATTGACATATACCTACAAACGCTGTTACCACTCTCCGTTCCTCAACATATGGAACCAATACATAATCCAGGCAAAATGAACTTTGTGGGCGCCATGATATAGAAACCCCCCAGACATTACGGCTACCTATCCTTCTTGCAGTCGGTTCTTACACCATGAATCTGCAGACTTATTCGGTCCCGACAACAGCTGAGACGGCTGTGATTATAAATGGTGTGGCTTACATGTCTCTTGTCCCTGATGATGACGTGCCATGGGGATTCCCCTTCCAGGACTTCCTTACCGCTGGCGATACGCCCCCCTCTACCTGCCTCCTTCACCACCTTAGGCCGCCCACAAGCTGAAACACAACACGCCAGTCATCATTCGTGGAACTGGATTGGTCCTTGGTAGTCGTGGTGAAGATGCTTTAGTCGGAGTGTAAGTACAGGAGGGAGATCGGTGAATCAATGCAAATATGTCCGACTGAAAACTTTCATCTTACATCAGAATTTGTTTAACAGACTTTAGACACGATCAAAGCGTTAAGACGATCGTAACTCTCATCGTCCATCCTGATATAGATATCCTATCACCATCATCATCAAAGACTTACTACAATCGTAGCCCTAATACCGCTTTGGGGAACGGGGATGAGGTGCCCTGTTCATTGTACGACACTACAAGACCTCACGGGGCGGTGGTGTAGCTAGTGGTTAAAGCGTTCACTCGTCACGCCGGAGACTCGTGTTCAATTCCTCACATGGGTGTCACCAGCCGTGATATTGCTGGGATATTTTTAAAAGCGGCGTAAAAACTCACTCACCCACTCATTACTCATACATGTGTGGCGTACAAAGAAATACCTCCTTATTGTATCCACATGGGACTTAGGCAACGGATGTTGTGTATTGATATCTGTCTTCATAATATTATGTTGATATCAACAAACCTTTCTTGTGGCCAATACCATCGATTGTCAAAATGGCGGATACCCTGGCTGAACAGCCGTTTGAGGCACGTGCAGCGCACGTGTATTCGCCAGCATCTGTTTCCACGATGTGGTCGAGTACCAGGTAGTTGTTCACCAGAATCTGACAAAGAAAACACAGGTGGGTTGATTTGAAGTTTAACACCAAGGTGAAATGCATGACAATAGATTGGAACAGCAGGGAATCCATACAGAATGGACGCTAATAACAGATAATTATGCAGAAGAGTAGATCGCCATAAACTGAACTCCATATAATTGTGTGTTGACACTACTTGAGTGAGTGAGTGAGTTTAGGTTTACGCCGCACTCAGCAATATTATAGCTACATGGCGGCGGTCTGTAAATAATCGTGTCTGGACCAGACAGTCCAGTGATCAACAGCATGAGCATCGAACTGCGCAATTGGGAACCGATGACATGTGTCAGCCAAGTCAGCGAGCCTGACCACCCGATCCCGTTAGTCGCCTCTTACGACAAGCATGGGTTACTGATGATCAATATTCTAACCCGGACCTTCACGGGTCTTACACCACTTGAACTCTTAACACCGCCATGCGCTAAAAACGACAGTGTCGTGCGTAACTTGCAGCACCGTGAAGACAGCTGGGTACACCTGGATCAAATCCACAGAAAGTTCGTTGCGCTACGACATTCGTAAGCCTATGATAACTAGAGTTACGATAGGTCGTAACGTTACGACGCTTTGTTGATAAGGACCCTGCACGATAGCGAGATGTAGCACTGCACTAATAGGACGGAGACTGCGCGTGGCACTGCGTGCTGCTGCAACTCTCATCACACATTATATATACCTTCTTCCTTCGGTCAAATTTGATGATCTCCCCGTTCTTTCTCCACATGGTGTGTTCCGCATCGGGCACAAAGCACTGGAGTATAGCGCTGCCACCCTCCTCCACAGTCATGTTCTGGGGCGCCTTCTCTACACCTAGCAGCGACACACAGATATGTTCATAGATCGTGTCAAAACAATAACTCCAGGCACAACTGAACAAAACAATGTCACGTATACATTTCATTGTCTGAAAAGAAGTACATGTATTTCAGATAGAATAAAACAGGTCTTCGTGTGTGCCGCCATCATCCCAATCCCACCGGCTTTGTCTCTTTCGTAAGAAATTAAATCGTCAAACCGGGGCATGATGGTCTCTGGTCAAACTGATATGGAGATCGTAAATAAATCTTTGTGCTGGTCGCCTATTGGAGCCATAGAAGTGAATGTCAATCCTACTGGCACATTTGCAGAATTTCTAAGCAGGCGACGCGTGTTTTCCGTAGAGAAGGCATACTTTAAACTTATATATAGCGATGAAGGGATGAGGCTATTCAGTGACAGCAGCTTCTGAATCCCCCGCCGCAACCACTGTGACATATGATGATATTCTGATCCAAATCTGGACATGAAAGTGGCTTCTTACGCAGTCTACATGGCTCTGTTAGCGTGACCCATGAGGACATCTCAAACAGGTTGCCGCCTGACAAAGCAACACACGTGTACTTCCCGTCCTGGTCGTCACTGACTTCCGGCACGTGCAGAACACCGCCCGGATGGACCTCGATACCCTCGGTGTGGTCGCCTTCACTGAGAATCCGGTCCCGATGCAACCTGGATCGGAATATGGAATCTTCATTTATGGAAGAATTATTCTGGACTACTCTCTGGTCGAGACAGAGGATGTCCTACTAAGGAGGACAAACAAGTACTAAAACAGGCAACTCATGGATCAAGCAACACCATAACTGTGTACTACCTCAGATTGGTAAGGCTATCCACCAATTCTGAAGAATGCCATATCATCCATCCTAGTCCTGCCACTTACGACATGCAATAGACTACTGGACCCCGTTCCTCAAAGCAATAGTAGCCCTACGACAGTCCTTAAGTCTATGTTAGGGTATGGGAGTTACGATCACCTTAGCGTTACGAACGCTTTGTGGAACGGGACCCTGGCGTCTAATCATGTCCATCAGTTACTATATACTGGACAAACCACTGACACTCTGTCTTGTAGTGCCGTACTGACCACATGATGCCAACGTTTGGCTCCTCTACGGCACACTCCAGGAGGACGCTACTGCCTCGCGCTATGGTGATGTTGTGGGGCACCTTCGTGAACGTCACTCTGTCAGACTCCTGCAACAACACCAACAGGGCATTCTACACTTACTCTGCGATGTTCTTCGCTGCCTTTAAACTTAGATAAACTATAGCCACACAGATCATGCGAAATACATCTGCAAAACGTGATTTCATCGTGTTACAAGCGGATCCTCAGATGATGTAGAGTTGCCCGTTCCAGAAAGGAAGGGCGGGATTGAACAAACATTCTTAGTTTGTACACCGCGAGGACGATGGTAGACAGTACACGTCAAAGTCTAAGGTCTGTTTGAACACATTGATGATACTGGTCGAGGGGTTTACATGTACATTCGGACACTGCCAGCAATCGGACCCATAAAGTGGTCAATCGTAGTGTGACCAGGGTCTCGATCCACAAAGCATTCGTAATGTTACGACCCGTGTTAACTCCCTGATTTATCATAGGCTTACGAATGTCGTAGTGCTACGAACGTTTCGTGGATCGGTTGTGACGTGACTATGAGCGAAAACATCATGGTTTGTTGATGCCGTCAGTTGACTGGGTTCACGTTTGGGTTTCACGACACCGTGACTTGACAGGTGGGTTTTTAGCGAGTAATGGTAAAGCTCGGTACACATACTGGAATCGTTTTTGAACTGCGATTTGGAAATATATTCAACCTCCAGATGGGTAACTGTCAAAAATACGTCATCATTGTAATGACTATATGATTTCTTAAAGCTCCTCACTACGAGGCAGAGATATATGATTTCAAAAATATGAAACTTGTTTTTATTTCTAATCAGTACAATAACGTTTCATTCGATCCCCCCAAAATGACAAAAATGTGAAATCTCTTCAAAGATAGGTTGCACAGCTTGACAGGAAGGATGGGTTACATACTCAGCATGAGCTTTGTGGTACACAGGTTTCCGTGTACCGCGGCAAACAGTGGCATTTTGGACCTCCGCCTTGAATGTAGCACGTGCCTCCCGTTGTGACATGCGTAGTCCCTCACATGTGACGATATCTTCATACTCACATTCTTCACCCGAGAAAACCGCGAGAACAGTCACACCTCGAAGAACACGCATACGAGATATAGATGCACATAATAGATTAGGTCTAGGTTTACATAGCTGTCTATTTGAATCTTGAATGAAGTATTGCCTTTATCTTGTGAGGTGGTTAAGATGCAGTGAGGTGCCGTATTCCTATTTATTTCACGTTGTGTGTTATCACTAATGTATTTACTGATCACAAATCTGATTTTAAAAATATCAAAACAACCTGTGTGTTTTAGATATCACAAAATCGAATATTTGATATCAATAATAAAAATATTGGAATCACAAATCTATTATCATATCACAATATAAATTTTTAGATATAGCAATTTTGACATAATTAGGTGCTGATGAAATATTATCCTTGATGATCCTTGTGCTGTTGAGTTGAGCCTGATACAACATGAGATAAAATGAGTTACCGATATCCCCCCGTCTGCCGAATATAAATAAACTATGAGGTTTCAAAACATAATTTCATACCCAAAACTTGAAGTCGTGATATATCAATATTTAGTATAGATACATTAGAAACGACGCCCCTCACGAGTATGCAGCAATAGTCCCAAGTTAAGCACTTCTTTTGCTTACTCTTATCACAATACCGAGATGACAGTGAGGCGTGGTCGTACCTACACACAGGCTTTCTACTTACCTCCATGTGTTCCTGGACGAGTCGCTTTCCCTTCTCTTAACACAGGTTCCCCGTTGATTACACTGCAGTGGGCATGGCGACTCTGGTGGAAGGATACAACAAAATGCGTTATGAGTAGATGCCTGTAGAAACGGTTAATTATTTAAGGTCGAGCGTCAATAACTTTCCCAAATTAAAATGACAGTAGCTGTTTTAGTAACATTACATTGCTATTTTTAAAGCTATTTTCATATTCATAAGACTCTATGCTACAACGCAGAGTCAGTATCATGAGAATT